AACAGTTGTTAGTATCTTGCTGGAGTGGATAATTGTGTTAGCACTCTGTTCCGCAGAGCATTAAGCGCTGCAATTCAGAAGAGTTCACTCGACTTCTGGATCAAACCAATTTGGGTTTTCCAGAGGTCTGAGGTGATTATTCAAACAAGTATGACTCTACATAATAAACACCTCTGTGCAGAGTAACTGTTCAAGAAGAAATGGATGGTCCCTAGACTAAAATTTCATTGCCTTAGGTAAATATTTAGTGGGAGGTTGGTGTTGCAGTCTTAGATCAATTGCAGGTCATTCTTCATTGACAAAACCAGGCAGCCAGAAGCACACGGTGTTGGTAATTGACAGGTTATTCTCAGGAGTTTGCAACTAGTCTGTATGTTCATTGGTTCCAAGTGGTGGGGGCTGATACATATTTACAGCACAAAAGAGAAGAGGTAGAGTAGTGCTAATCCAAAATGTCTTGGCTGGTGGACTCTGGCCATGGGGCACAGGTGCTTTAGAACCTTCCCTTCAATGCTATTGCTGTGCTGGGCTGTCAGCTACCACCACCAAATCCAGCAACTTTAGTGACACTTTCACAGGCGTCTTGGTTGTCTTGTGGTAGAAAAGTAACTTATTCTGAAGCTGAATGAAGCAGAGGAGTTGTTTGTAAATCTACTGACCTGTCCATACATTTGTACAGAACTCTGAAGAATGAGGCAATCTGGTAGTTTATGCTTGTTTTTCCTGCTTCTTCTTCCATTTGATTTGTATTGTGGTGGGTGGTCAAAAGAATATGGAAGTGTGGCAAAGCATTGCCCAAAACACTCTGATCTCTGTATTTGGGCCAGGAAATAAGCTACTAAGTCACTAGGGCTGCTGTGGTTAATGCCAGGACCTGCACCAATTCCCAAAATATCTCAAAATGTAACAGCTCTTTTGAGGGTTAATGCTGCCTGTAATTACCTTTTTCTGCTTGCAAGGAGGTGTTGCACCGCTCCGTGCCCATCTCAGCCTCTTCCCAGGGGTGTTGGTGTCCTACACCACAGGTTTTGGCTGGGTGCTCTGCAGCCAGATGTCTGGAAATGCTGCGCACCTGCAGCGCTGCGTGCAGTCAGCGGGAGCACAGGCTCCTCAGCGCCCTGGGAAATCAGGCCTCTGTGCCCAAACAAGAGATTGGAGTTCAGCAGTCACAAGGCTGCTTACGTGACCAGTCTGCATTCTAGATACCTGCTGGAATGGATGTTTGGTTTGTTTTTAACAAAGGATATTGCCAGTACTTGATTGATTCCTGGGAAGTTGAGGTGTGTCCTGTTATACCCCTTGATTTTTACTAATTTTGTGAGCATTACTACTCTTTTAGTTAATATGTAGCTAGTAGAACAGCAGGCACATGAATTCAGAGAATTCAGCTATAATAGACTTACTTCTCTCTGATGTTTTATGGCATTAATCTTTTTTTGGTTGGATTGAATAGCAAGGAAAGCACTTCTGCTGACATGCTTAAAGGTTAGAATAAGAATTAAAACAATGTTCCTTTATTGTTTAAATTTCTTTACATGTGTCTGGTGGATTTTTCAAGGTACCCAACTATAGTGTTTTGGGCATGTAGGTCAAAGTCTTTCTTTAAACATGCTATAGGTCCCCCTGTTCTCTTGATGAACATTATGTTCCCCCCTTGAAATCAATAATCCTCTGGTTTTGTCTACCCCAGCTGTTTGAGTTTTTTATAGTAATGTAAGTTTCAGTTAGAAATCTGCCTTCCCTGGATAAAAGGTGCATCCTCATTCATGCCCTGCCTTAATCAGTTTTGTTTGTTCACTCCCTTGTTTATTGCTCACACGATTATTTTTTCTTTTCGAGTGAAGAGTCCTGTTAGGGCTCCTGTACATCCAGTGGTAGACAGAGTCATCCACTGAATTTGTACAGTAACTTCTCACAAAAGATATTTTGGGTTCAGGCTCTTCAGTTTTAAAACTAATATACTGCTTTTGCATTACTCTGGATTCTGTAGGGAATTCTGATTCTCTGTGACTCACTTTGAACTGAAACAGCAAGTAGTTTGCTGTGTTAAACCAGTAGTTTAATGCCTGATCCTCAACTCCCAGATGAGCACTGTCAGTGTTTATGGCAGAAAAGGATCTCTATCCTGCTTATAATCCCTGATACTCCCCACTGATAGGAGTTACTCCCTCGGGGCTTATGTTTGGGTTCTCACCAAGCAGCAGGTTGAGCCCAGCTCAGGAGCAGCAGTAATACTGATAGTCATTCTAGCAAGATGCCTTACCCAATTAGGAAAACCTTCACTCTGTTCTCCCTAAAGCAGCCTTCCTCCTCTTTGAGAATGCAGTAGAAACATGGTGTTATTAATTACATTTTACTAAATGAACTTCACTTATAGCTTAATGAAAACTGTGGAAGGTGAATTCTATTAGTGTAATCTTGTAAACACAGCAGAATTGGGAATTGTGCGAGTAACTGGTCACAGAACTGAAAATACCAATCCCCATTTATGTTTCTTTTTTTCTAGAACCTTTGAGGAATTGGTATACTGGATTTGGTACAGCTCTGTCTACACGGCAGTGGCCAAGCAGCGTTGTCACTTCTGATTCTGTAGCTGCTTAGACCCATTTTATCTTCAGAGGTGATATGCCTAAATAGGGAGCAATTATCTTGCTGGCTGAGAGACATGAGAAAACAAGGAAAGAAAAGGGTTCTCAAATTCCAACGTTCATCACTAATTCTTTCCCATTTCTTACATCTTATCAAATGTCTGTGCTCATCATTAATCCTCCCCATTTCCTGTTGTCAGGTGCCTGCACATCTCTCCAGTGGCCAGTGGCACTATGTGAACATAGCATTAGGGGATTATTGGAATTGCTGAGTGTGATTAAAAGGTCATTTCTGAATGACAGCAAAAATCCAACAGGCTATCCATAGGAAAGGTGAAGAATGTTTCATATGTCAGTTAGAACATGTTGTGACTCATTGTCCCAGAGCGATGGAGAGAGTTACATCCAGACGTCTGCAGAGCGGCCATCAGGTGGCTCTGGATCTCAGCAGTGTCATGAACAGAGGCTTAATTCAGACATATTTGCATGCCTCAAACTCCTAGTGCTGATTATCTGTATCAATAAGAATGCAATTTTTCTGGTGCAGGACCAGCTGTTATTTTTTATGTTTGTGAAATTACACTTTGAGCATTATTTATACATCTTGCTGATGGTGAGTAACTGGCAAACTTTATGCTCTATTGATAGAGCTTAATATTTAAAAGAGATTGCACGGATGTGGTGGGTTTTTTCTACAGTGCTACTAACCCAGAAGAAACGCCGAATGTTAGGGCTGCTAACCCTCTCCTGGCAATCCCAAACCACTCCTTTGGAATCAGCAAAACCTTGTGGCAAAGTATCTGCCACCTGGTGGGCACAGAGGGAGCCCTGGCCCAGCACAGCACCCGGCGGGGTCCCAGCAGCTCCTCAGCAGCAGGGCTCACACAGGCCTGGGCAGTAGTTTTCTGACAGCGTATTTTTCCATCAGAAAGTGCTGTTTTGTTATAATTAAAACTTTCTGTAGGATCATGTCAATGAGAAATCGAAATGTTCCATTCCAAAAATATCAGAACATTCTGTTTCAAAATTTTAGACTGGAACTCTTAGACTTTTCTCTTATTCCAGAATGATTTTTTTTTTTTTCTTTTAAACTAATTATCCTTGTACATTATAAAAACAAGAAGTTGAAATTTTCATCTTTGTATTAAGCAGTAATGAAACCTGACATCATCACTGTAGTACATGGTAAATTCCAGGCAGACAGGAATTTTGGTGGTCATCTCCCACGTGAGCTGAGGAAGTCAGTGACCGTAGGAGGCTGCGGACGTGGGTGGGAGGCAGGCGTGGAGAGGGAAGTGTCCCCACGCTGGCAGGGGATGGTTACAACCATACAATTCATTCAGGAAGCACGAGTTCAGGTCTGTGATGTGTAGGGGACTGTCCTCTCATGATTGCAGAGACCCTCCTGCACAGGCAGGTCTTTTGCTTTTTGTTTTTGCTCTTGTCCCCACTCTCTAGTTCCTGTCCCTTTTTGGTCCTTGACTGTGCTACCTCCACCACATCACTTCTCCATCCCATCCGCTCTGTTTCCATTTTGGCCGCTAAACTGTTGTTTTCTTTTGCTCTTTTCACCCCATCCATATCATTCCACCCTGCTTCTCTCCTTTCCACTTCTGTGTCTTCTGACCTTTCCTCTTAGCTATCTTCTCTTTCAAGATCCTCCTGGACCTTTCACGCCAAGACCTCTTGACCCTGTGGATCCCTCTGTTGCACGTTCTCTAGGTAGCCTTCAGCTCTCTACTTCTTCCTCACCCGCTGGTGGGGTGATGGCAGCAGAAGGACTCATCCCAGCTGCTGAGTATATAGTCTTGGTGCTGCAGCAGCCCCAGCAGCTGGGATGAACGATTTCAGAGAACACCCTTTCTGTCTCTGGAGCTGTGTTGGGGGACACTCATGCTGGGGTTTCAAACAATGTGGTCTTTTACAACAAAATTGGTGAAGTGTTACTATTTGTAGCGCCTTTCAATAACTTTTTGCAGGACCGAGTGGTGGTTCAAACTGGTGAACTCATCTGGCATGAAAGTATTTATTTATTGCTGGCTGTTTTTTCAGCTGAATGACTTATTGGATCCATACTGAGGGAAAACATATTTTAATTTACCAGAAATATTAAATTTTTAGCTAACGTACCCCACCAAAAACTCAACCTTTGGTAAATATCTAGAATAGAAAATTTGGTCCGGTCTCTAAATTACACACAACCTAATAATGGAAGAAGGCAGGCAAATTTTATGTAACCCAAGTGTTTGCAATTTTGTCATCTGATCTGTAATATTTGTGCACCTCTGCCACATGGAAATCTGTCAATTGTAGTGCCTGTAGTGTGTAGTTAACATAATGTGCATAGGGAATAATAAAACTGCTTTATTTAGGATTCTCTCCACTGTCCCTGTTATCTCATTCAACAGAACAGCCTGCTAGTAATATTAATTTATTTAAAGAAATTGTCAGGTTAAAGAGGTTCCTTTATTTTGTTGTTTAAAAGATTCACTCCAGTAAATTAGAGAAATACTATTTCAGATATCTAAGAAAGGTACCCTTGTTCTATATTGGCTTGCTTTTTTCTTGCCCATATTTGGTTGAGATTCTTCATGTGATCTGTGAAATTCTTTGTGCCATTGTTCTAACCAGTGGGATTTGGTGCAGGGATTCACTTATAGCAACTTGAGGCAGATGAGATACAACTTTAACTTCTGCAGCAGAAGGCTATTGACTTGCCTGGTCCCTTTACTAGACTGGTTCTGAATCCCTGGTGTCACTGCCTGATTTACATCTTTGCAAATATATGCAAATACAGAGTATTGTCGTTTGGTCTTCGGTCTGCAGAAATGCTACTGACCTGCTTGAGTATCTCAGTAACGGAATAGGAGCCTTTCCCTCCTCATATTTTATACATTTCAAAAGGCAGTATTTTTCTTATTTTTCTATGTCTAATTTCTGAAAAGGATGCTGCAACGCGTGAGTTATGGTAAAGCATCTGAGAGATCAAGGTCTTTCTCTTCGTTTTGAGGAGGTGTTGAGCCATCTGTTGCTGGATCGGTGCTTTCTGCTGCAGAGGGCAAGAGATCCTCATTTGTGAATTCTCTGGGAAAAGTAGAAGCAGCCGGAAGGTCCGTAATCTGTTTCCATGGTTTTCCAGGACATCTGGGGAGAGGGGATCCTGCGCGATCTGGCAACCCATTAAATAAAGAAGTATCAGGAGGAATTAGTGGTTCTGCAGGTGGACTGGTTTCCTCTCTCACAACCCCTGCATTAACTAGCTCTGATGCTGTTTCAGCACTGGACGATGGGAGGGGTTTGTTTTGATTAAAATCCCTTTCATCAGACTCCTCAGAAGATTTGAGGTCTGGATGTTTGTGTTTACCATTCCTACTGTGGTTTTGATGCCCACACCTATGGCTTTTTCTGTGCCCACAACGAATTTCATGCCTATGCCTTTTGTCAGACTTGTGATCCTTTTTATTTCCATGCCTGTGTTTATGCCCATGTTTATGCCTGTCTTTATGCTCGGGTTCACCTTCACCTTCTGGTTCCTGTCCTCCATCTTTTCTCGGTTCTTCGCCAGGTCTTTCCTTTTCTTCTTCATTTTTATCAGAGCATGAAATTCCAGCTGGCTGATCCCGCAGAGTAGCGCTTCGGAAAGGGGTGAATCCAGGAGGCCTTCTCATAAGTACTTCCTAAAAAACATTGCAATAATAATCGTATGTGTTACATGAATGAGAACAATAGCTTTAGGTTTGGGAAATTCAGAAGTTGGCTTATTGCAGTGCATGAGTCATTTAGCAAAAATATTATCAGATTTTTGAAGTAAACTAAATAGTTTTTTCTATCTGTGAAAAGAATGGAAACATAAACATCCTCCCAAATAATATATGTTAAAGGAAAAATTTCTATATCACTGAAATTCTGCCAGTTTAACATGAAAATGAAATTGTGTACTGCTTTTAATTTATGAACAATGTAGTTGACTAAACGTCCCTGCCCTTGTTAGAGTGTAACACTCTGATGTATAAAACCCTTTATGCTAAAGGCTAACACATCTCTGGGTAGTCTCAGTAGTCTCAATATCAGAATATACAAAAGTTCTGCATCATTTTGTTATATGAGATGTAATTATTCAGTTATTTCTTTCTAGATTTGACATTTGCATTTCATAAGACTGCCTAGAACTAACACGTATAGGTTCAAGCTGATGATAGAAACCATTCTGTTATTATTGAGTGATCTCCGTTTCCCCATCCCCGTCCGCTGGAGGACAAGGCTGGATGCCTGGGGCACAGCCACTCTCCAGCCTGGGTTTCACTGCAAAGTGTCTGACCACTGTCTCCCTGCAAAGCAGAGTTGTTGGGGATGCAGCTAACTTTGAAAGTTGATGTGAATACAATATTTTAGTGAAAACAAAGAGGAGAGGCATTTATTAGTTGATCCATAATGAATGAATAGGTAGCTATGGAGGTACTGAGCCCAGTGAAGTTCTGCACTATGAATGCAGGTTAATCAATCTCACTTTATTCACTGTATCTTCTCTTCTTCACTGGGGAGCTAGGGAGTCCCTGCACTTATTAAAATACCTGAAATTATCAGAACTAAGAGAGTACTGATGATAAACAAGTTTTATATTGCATTCTGAAATGTTCAGGCCTGCCCACGCTCAGGGCTAGTTAATAGTGGAGCTGGGCAGGAGGGAAACGGAAAGATCCTCCTGCAGAGATTGACAGCTGGTGGCAGGAGATCTGCTGCTCTGCTGAACATGGAAAGATTCGTGGGTGCTTTTGAATGCTGTGGGGTATAATTATTGTATTGCCAAATACATGTTTTGTCTCAATTTCTAAACCTAGTAGGAATAGTAATTCAAATAAGATGATGTGGGTTGATACTTCAGAGCTCAGCTGATACCGCAGTGGAGCAGCCACCAGGCAGGGGGGTCTCTCTGGCCCGTTGCTTCTGTACTTGTGTCATCACTGCTGCCCACTGGCTCACCTCATGGCACCAGGCTGCTGAGGTGAGAGGGAGCAGTGTGGTTGCTGAGGTTGTTAAAATAACTGTGTTTCTTTGGTTTTGGTACACAATATGGGATAATTTGGAACGGATAAAGAATTTAATGACTGCCTGGGTTCCTTACTCTACTTGTGAAGCTGGGTAATGAAGAGGAATCATACCATTGACCGTCCTTTAGAGCAGTTCACCTGCGGAAGGATTTTATTGTCCCATGGGATCACGTGAATTTGTGCTTCACAGGGCAGGGGTACCTGTTGACAAAACAAAAATCAACACATTAAGGCAACAGAATATCAAAGGAGGAGTGTTGTACATGAAAAAAATTATGATTTATTTAATAATACTCTGAAATACAAATATACTTGTCCTTAACACAGGAAGGACATGGACCTGTTGGAACGGGTCCAGCGGAGGGCCACGAAGATGCTCAGAGGGATGGAGCACCTCTCCTATGGAGACAGGCTGAGAGAGCTGGGGTTGTTCAGCCTGGAGAAGAGAAGGCTCTGGGGAGACCTTGTAGCGGCCTTTCAATATCTGAAGGGAGCTACAGGAGAGCTGGGGAGGGACTGGAGCACAAACTATTTAATCTTCATGATATTCCTAAAAATATTGTTTGTTGATGATATTTCTCCTATTAAAACTTGGGAAACTGAGATAGAGAGAAAGAGACTTTTTTTCCTATTCAGTGCCTGCTGCACAGGTAACAGAACTCAGGATGTGATTTTAATGAAGTGCTTACGATTTCGGGTGCAAATGAACTTGTCCATTAGGAACATTCCAGTTGGCGACATCACTGTTACTTACACTGTCTGATGTGGCTTCACAGTCTTCAGGAAATTTTTCAAACTCTTTCTTTGAGCAGTTTGTCTTTTGGACTGTGAATGTTAAATGGTAGTTTTGTCCCGCAACCACCTGAAAAGTCAGCAAGAAAGTTTTCTGTGGTAAAGGCATTTTATTGAAAAGGGCTCACAGGAAAGATGGCTTTCTATAAGCTTATACTACTTATGTGCTACAAGTCCTACCCACCGGGACAACGTATGTTAAGAACAATATTAAAATACTTGGCAGCAAACCTATCTGCTTCTAATCATCTTATTTACTTCATTCTCGAAAATTCCAGCATTGGAACTGAAGGAAAGAGGTCAGAATAATATCAGGCCCACAGTTTTGGCTTTGTTTTATTGGATATTTGTAGTAATTTCATTAATAACAAATGAAATCATTAGAGACACTGCTGCAGAGAGCCAAATATGATGTAAGAAAAATGGAATGTGAATAAAATGAAGTGTGTAATGAACCGGCTCAGTTGAAAATGAACGTATTTGCCAAATGCATTAAGGGGAGAAACTGCCTGGGTTCAAGAATGTGCCTGGTACGAGTTCTCTTAGTATATTTTACAGAGCCCGAGCTAATATATCTTGCTTCAGAGACAGCAGGCAAAATATGAAATTCTGTCTATTTTAAAAATGTATCAATCATAATATGCAATATCAATCATAATATGCAAATGGAGAAAGAAGAAAAAAGTTTGAAAGAAGAAAAATGGTTTAAAGGAAGAGAAAGCACAGATGTTATTGGTAAGATAATGTGAGCTCTTGTTTTAAGAAAAATAAGAAGATCAGAGATGGGCGATTTTTAAATCACTTCTGAATGCAAGCCAAGATGGATAACATTTTGCAAGAAAAATTGCCTGGATATTTCAGTTACCACATGTACCAGCACTTAGAAAAAAACCTTATTTCAACTCTAAATGCAAACTTTAGCTAATGTTTGACTCAGAGCAGTAGCACGGCCTCCTCTCTGTGGGATAGCCCAACCTGAACTGTCGCCGCTTGTATTTCTCCACCTTTATAGTAGAAATCATCATTGCTCTCCGAGTTATACTTCTCCATAGAAGCCTTCAGCAGTTCCTTCAGTTCTGGGCTGTCTCTTGGGATGCTCTTTGGACAACCAGTGCGAGTGGCAGAAATTGTCTCTTCAACTGGAAGAAACCAACAGATTTCAGATCTAAGGCGCAGAAGATTCAATGTAGATAAAGACTGGGGAAAACAGTCAGTTATAAAGCCCTGCCTTGTGGAATGCTTTGAGTTTGGTACCATCAGTGTTATGATCTCTTGGTTGTGTAAAAGAGCCCTCCATCACACCCAGTGTGGCATTGGAGCCTTCACCACAGGTTCCTCCCAGAAAGGAGAACTGTGCCCACCGACTGCGGGCACTGGCAAATAAAGAGAGGGAAAGCCTGCACAGATGGAAGGACCTGAATCAGATGAAACCAGAGGTGCATGGTATTGGCAATGAATGAGGGTGGTGAAGAATATCATTATCATTTCTTGAAGAAAAACCAAGCCTGAGTGGGTGAGAATGTGGCACTTCCTACGTGGAGTTGTGCTGTACTCCCTGCTCTGGAGCTGGGATAATCTGTTTCCAAATGGATGGCTGGAGGAGAACGTAACAGCAAGAAAATTATTTGGGAGTTTGATTGTAATGAACTAATAAATTCCAATTTATATACTAGGGAATAAGCCCCATCCTCTAACATATCAAATAGCAATAACCATGCAATATGAACTAAACAATGAGAGTGTCAATAGGTGAATTGCCAATTTTGGACAAGAGCTTGAAGTCCTCAGTTCCTTTGCCCTCGAAAAGAATACACTGGAGCTCTTTGGAAAGTTAGAAGTTACTTATTTAAACAATGGGATATAAACTCACTTGTCATTGTGGTGGAAAAGATACAAATTTTTGTTATACTCCTTGAGTTTGTATGTGTTACTCTGCAATGAGACTCGGTACCAGCTCCATGTCATAGAAACAGGATACAAATGATAACATGGAATTTCCAGCTGCATATGAAATACTCATAGGAAGTGATAAAATCTGTGGCAATATTTCATTATGGGGCAGTGCTTTTTTGGTCTCAGAAGAATTATATTCTCTTGTTATTATCTGTTTTCATCTCTTGCATTTTTATTTCGTCTTTTTTTACAATTGTAAAAAAACATTGACAATTGCAGCACCTTTTTTTGGTGCCCGTGACGTACCTGGGAGCTTGCACTGGTGTGCAGTGTCTACAATCTGCCCATGAAGACTTTCATACGCTTTGGCCTCACATTTACCTACACGCTGGAGTAAAAAATGCAAAACAGCTCCTTATTATTTAGAAATAATGAACAAGCTCACGTCCTAAATACCTTCCTGCTAACAGAATAAGTCAAGCATACTACTAATAATTGCTTGCTTGCTTCCTTCCTTCTTTCCAGGGTGCAATTCTGGTCTTCCCATTTCAAAATGAATAGTGAATAAAAGTATGAAACCACTCCCATGGGAGAGGTTAAGTCCTAATTCAGCTACTTTTCTTCCAAAATGTGTCTTTAAGCTTAAGTAAAAATGGTGCTAATTTTACTTACCACTTTTTGGGTTGTATCTGAGTAACTCCCTGAATATCTGGATAGGAACTTCTCGAGGGATTTATTATCTGGGTGGAACTGTTTAGATCCTGTAGAATAATCTGTAAACATTTCAGTGACCGGCTTAGTCACTGATCAGGAGAGGACGAGGGTGTTCCCATTGCATAAATAGACAGTCTTCTGTAAGCCTGGATTTAAACTTCATTCACAAAGTGAAGCAAGACTACAAATATTTTCTTGAGTCAGATCTCAATGATTATTTGTAAATATGATATTTTCTTGATAAACAGATTTTGAAGATTACTTACACCTCTGGAAGTGGGTTTGCATTCTGGAGTTAAATCTTGAAATTGGTCTTTGGAGCAATTAGTCTCCTCAATTTCATATTTAATTACGTAATTGAATCCAGCTACCACCTGGAACAGATATTTAGAAGATACATTATGTAAAGCAATACAAACTCAGAAATTAAACTATTAAACGTGATTAGCAAAGAAAGCAAAACTACTCTTCTATTGCCTCCCATCCATCAAATTACTTTGCAGTCGTTGAGCCATAGAGTATTTATGGACAGCAAATAAAAAATCTTGTGATACAGGAAGTAAATTAAGTCATGTGTGTATTAGAAGTGCCCTTTGTGTCCGGAGCCCGTGTGTCCTGGCAGGGCTGGTCTCGTGCCCTCTCCTCGCAGGTGTTGGTTAGGTGTTAGTCCCCGTGGCAGGGGCTGGTGGAGATAGATGGCTGTGCTGATGCAGCTTGGCACCTCCTGTCTCCCTGAGCGTGGGGCGTAGTAAACCAGTCTCTGAGTGATGTACCTGCGTGTGCTGGCATCATTTGTTATTGCCTGTCGGGCATTTATCATCCTCTGGAGCTCTGTCTGCCCTGCCTCTGCCTTCCCCCGCCCGCTGCCTGCTCCAATCTGGCACCCTTTTTTGCATTTTCTCTCCAGGAAGCAGTTTGGTTTTCCTCACTGTGGCTACTGCTTCTCACCCGTGAAATCTCTCTGTGCCAGGGTTGGGTCAGGCAGTGTTGGGCTGAAAAGGGGAAATAAGAACCAAATGCAGGAACTTTCCATCCCAGCTGGGTTAAAGTGGAGGGCTCTGACCTCCCCTTCTCTGCTGGCCAGAGGTGACGGGATGGCTCTCTTTCCAGCGCTGGATTGCAGTCTGTCTGTGACATTTTGTCATGTGCCCTAAGTGTTGTGTAAGCTTCTCTGTCAGCTGAGAGGGTCCTCGCCATCAGTAAATAAAAGAGGACAGTCTGAATTCAATCACGAGTCAAATTGACGTGAGACCAGCAGAGGCTTTTTGGCTGAGTATATACATACACATTCGAAGAAAAGGGCCCGTCTTTGGTGTCAGGTTATGTACGAGTTATCAACCAAAGGAGAAACTTGGCTTCCCAGCAACATCCCACCAGTCATAGGAGAGCCTTTCCCAGGGCAACAATTGCTGCATGGAACAGCAGCTGACTCAGTTTCTGCCACCCGAGCAGTCATTGCTCACAAAGCAGATAATCCTGCGTGCAGAAATCCTTCAGCAAGTGACATGCTGGCTTTTGGGGTTTTCTGACCCATTTTTCATGGGATTTCCCCATCCTATAGCACACAGCAGCAGCTGCCATAGGTGTCCTGTAGCACTGCAGCCCCATAGGTGCCTGCTGTCTCTGGGCAGGCTGGCACAGAGCCTGGCAGGGGGCTGCTCTGCTGGAGCTCGGGGAGAGCCCGGGGGCACGGCCGAGCCCCTGGAGGTGACACTGTGCCTGGGTCAGCACTGAACACCAATAAACTGGGGCTAAACACTGGTTAGATGCAACTGCAGATAAAGAAAAAATGTGTTTGCTATCGCTTGGTAAAGTTGGCAGCTCTGAAAATCCAGTAGGTAACTGCTGATGAGTCCTTATAAATGAAGAGAATTATTTACCCATTCTACACCCTATATGCATTTCATAGGCTTTTACTATGAAATATAGGCCACCTTAAAATCAGAAATGTGTACAATAAACAACCAAGGTACCTAGTTTGAGGAGGTTTTTTGATAAAATTCAGAAAAAAATCATACACAAACCTGTATTTGGGCTTCTTTTATTTCCACAAGCTTATAAAGGGCGGTCTCAGCGCTGTGCTGGTTAAACTTCTGGATGGTTTGTTTCAGGATGTCTGACACTTTCAAACTGTCTCTCGATATGGGTTGGAAGCATCCAGTACAGATGGCCTCAGTCACTTTTATCTTTGGCGTAGCTGGAAAAGAGACAAACCAAAAAATATAAGCCTTTGTGCAAAACAGCCTCAGGTTCTAGTCGTTCTTATCTGGGACTGAGAGAAAAGGTCCAATGAGCAAAAGCCTTTCCTGCTTTTAATTGGAGTTCTCAGCAACATTTCAGTTTCAGGACCTGCAAAGACATACGCTGTGTTTAGAAAGATGCTTTGTTTGTGGTGGTGGGGGCCACCCATGCCGTTTGGGTCCAGGCATGGTTTCAGCAGCAAACTTCACCCCGAGGGGGGAGTTCAGGAGTCATCGCATCTCCAAAAAACCTTGGCTGTGGTTTTTCCGTCCCTGGGCAAGGGTCATCCCTTCAGGGAAGAGCCAGTGGAGGCCACTTAATGGCTTTAAGTTGGGAAGGGGCAGATCTAGATTGGATATTAGGAACAAGTTCTTTACCATGAGGGTGGTGGAGCACTGGAACAGGTTGCCCAGGGAGGTGGTTGAGGCCCCATCCCTGGAGATATCAAAGGAGAGGCCCGACGAGGCCCTGGGCAACCTGGTCTAGTTGGGGGTGTCCCTGCTGACTGCGGGGGGGTCGGACTAGATGGCCTTTGGAGGTCCCTTCCAGCCTGAACCGTTCTACAATTCTGTGATTCTACGACTAAGGAGATGTTCATCACAGTTCTCAAAGCTGTGTGCAGCTGGTACTGTCCTCCCCACCTCCAGGATGGGCCTGAGGGAGGAGTGTCTTGGCTGCCCTGAGCTCCTGGGGGTGGTGGCTGCACTGTTCTGCTGGGGGGGTTCAACCCCTGCCTGTCCCTTTGGCTGCCAGTCACCATTTGGGGTTACCTTCAGCCTTCCCCAGCTGCATTGGCTGGGGATGGACAAGCGTGACAGGGATGCTCAAACTTCTGTTTCCTACTACTAATCCTATTAACTCTCTTTCCTTTCTAGTAATCATGGATTAGATTTTCATACATTAATTTTATAGTTCAGTACATAAATTAATTTCATGATTCAGTGAGCTTCAGAATGAAAGTGGGACAATATGTGGTCTCTGTGGAATTGAAGTAAAATCTGTGTGCCTGATCCTCAGCTGGCATAAACTGGTTTTAATGGAGTTATGCCAGTTTGCACCAGCCAGGAAACCAGTGCAGGGTCACCCTGATCCCCCTGTCCCCCCAAGAAGGCAGAGCAGGGGGTACCCAAGGCGGGTACCCTTGGGGCCCCTCAGGGGCTGCTCTTCCCCTCTTGGGATCCTTTGGGCTGGGTTTGCCCCCCGGTACATTGGGAATCGCTCGGTGTGAGCAATACTGGTTAGTCTGAGCTCTCCGGGGGGTACTAGCACAAAGTCTGGCCCTTCCTATTTCTAGTATCGCTTGTTTTGACTCAGTAATGACAAATATATAGATGTTACAGCAAAACGTGACCATGTTCTCCGGGAGTGACGAGACGGGAGATAACAGCCCGCCCTGACTGTCTCAGCGTTGTCCCGAGTGCTGAACAAAGGGGATGCTTTTTTCAGAGCTGCTGTAACTTGGTAGCAAAAGATGAGCTTCTTATGCTGGATACGTGACATTTAATGTGTGTCTCTGTTGTGAGCTCTGTAAGCAGACCCACAGGCCGGGTCCCGGCTGCAGTCCCACACCGCACACTAGAGGGCCCCCTCGGCCCGCGGATGCGCTGGAGCGGTGTGCGGCACAGTGTCCTGCAGCGCGGAGGGACACTGCTGCACAGACACGGACTGGGGCTTGAAACGAGCTCACGAGGAACTACAAACAAAGATGAGATGCCAAACATCTCACAAACCGTGGTAATTAGTTCTATAGTTCATATGCACTTGGCTCCCGGCTACCAGTTAGATGGGTATTTTAAAAGTTGCTCGTTGTGTTGCATGAGCACTAGACACAGGCACAGAGAGATCTCAGCTGCAAAGCTCTGAAACGGTGTGATCTCTTTCTCATAAAGGAAATAACTATATGAATATAAGAGTAACATATGAACCTCCCATAGGCAAGAAAGGTAGTGCTGCTTGTTGAGGTCTGAAGGATATCACGGTCTCTCACATACATCACTCAATTAAATCACGTTATTTTCTAAATAATTTCTTTTGTTCTTTTTTTGGTTGGGGGTAGATAATTGTTTGGGTAGATGTTAACAGAAATAATTTAGTCATTTTCAGTTGGGAGAAAATTAAGGTACAATTTTGTCATGTAAAGTTTTTTACTAATAATCTCTGGCATAATTTTATACTTGAATAAGTAAGGACAGAAAACTAAAGTGTGACAAGTTGTATCCAGTCTCTACGTTATTTATATGCTTCTGGTCTTAGGCAAATTCATTTTAACTGGGTGTAATTGCAGTGTCTGAGGAGACTCACAGCACACTCTGTGCCCCAGACAGACACTGCCAGTGCTTCACTGACCGACCCTGGGTGTCTGCAACAGGAAAGTGGAAGTTTATCTTTAACATGTAATTGCTTATGGAAAATTATTCATAAATGTCTGAATAGGGTGATAAGGAAATCCTACCTTTAAAATTACATCAATACTGTGTTTTTCCCATTCTTGTTTGTGAACGTACTTGTTGAATGCTGCCCGGAACAGTTACATACCTGGAAAAATTTTGCAATCTTGGGAAACATTACTTGTTTTATCAGCACCATTCACGTGAACTTGAGCTGTGCATTCTCCTGTTCCCTGCAAACACATAGGACAACATTTGTGTTAAACCTGCTGAGGAAAAATCCAGTGCCATATATTCCTCTGGCTATTGAACGACACTGACAGTTGCCAGTTCAGTTTGGGGAACAGGCTCATGTGCACATTTGTAGTTGTGTCTGATTTGCTGGTTTGTTACGGGAAAAGGAAGGGGTTTGTTGGTTGTGAGGAGAGTAGGGGGTGAACCGGGCAGATAATTTGAGAGATTGCTTTGTGTCGTGACTGATGCTTATTAATTAACTAAAGAATTTACAGACGGAATAGCGGAAATGAACACATCCTCATAAAGTCTGTCTAAATTGTGTATTTACCTAATCTCCTCTCTGCTAGATATGCAGCAATGACCACGGCATGTCACATTGATCCAGCTGATAGTATCACCCTCACCCCTTTCTCTGCCCAGTGTGAGATCAGGGTGACTGCACCCTGTGTGTGCCCGGCCCTTCCTCCCCCGGGGGCTCTGGAGCAGCAGGGGCTGCCCATGCTGGGCCCTGCCAGGAACCCCCCGTGCTCAGCCCTGCCAGGAACCCCCCATCACTCTGCTCCCACACCGCCTTCCGTGCTGCTGCTTTTGCTGGTGCAGATCTGAAGTCAATTTGGTGATGCAAGTTGGCATTATACATAATTAATAGAAAGTTTTACAGCCCTCACGCTCTCACAGCGTGTGTATCTTACGTTGAATTTATTGTGAACCTTCATATTGAAGCAATGAAATGTTTTCTTCTGCACGTATTCAGGATTACAATGCTAAACTCACAACTAACTTTAGAGTTGTAAACATTTCTCCACTGTACTTTAGTCCTAAAAGCTCTCAAAAGCAATACAGCTAAAATAGTTAAATTCTCTCCTGTATTTTTCCCCAGGTGACTGCAGGCCTGTTATGATGCCAGTGTTTCTGTACAGAGAACTTGTCAAGAGGACAGATACTTACAGCCTCTGCAGGTACTTTGTAATCACAGTCTTGCCAGAGTTTGTTTTCCTCAATGGCACAAGTGGTTTCTCGTATTCGATATTTCACATAGAATTGTGTGTCAGGACCTGCCTGGATAAAAACGATATGCATATCATCATTTGCATAGTAATAAATCAGTGAAAAGACACGAACTTCAAAAGGTAAATACTGCCCATTGGTTACATTATATTTTACAGCCTGGTTTCAGATTAGCTGCTGGTCTCCATGCAAGGTCTCCCAGATCTTGGTAGTTCAATAATTAACTTCTCTAATTATATTACTGAGCCCTTACCTACAGTTGCAATATATTGATCCAATAGATCAGGTTTGCTCAACTACCTTCATTGTGACTTGTGGTACTACCCTTGTGGTACCAAGGGTTTAAAAGCAGGAAGAAGGGGTTAGGTTTTATACTCCTATCCAAACGTCCTGCAAACAAGCATGCTTGGGTTGAGGCTTGGACAGTCAGTGTAATTACCCACTTGGGCTGGCTGGCTCCCCCACTCTCACTCCTGGCCTGCTCCCAGATCTGTCTGCTTCCCTTCTGCCAGCTCCACGGGCAGCCCAGAGCCAGGGGCAGTGCCCCACGGGCAGCCTGGCAGTGCCCACTGCCCCTGCTCTGTGGGAGCAGGGTGTTCCAGCCTCCCTGGCTTCTGGGGCTTGCTCTGGAGCCAGCCTGGGGCCGTGCCTGCAGCCTCCTCCAGGCACTGAGGGCTGAGCTGCTCACGGGGGGAGCCTCAGGAATCCCCCCAGCTGAAATACAAGGCATTAAGCAGGGTTTGGCCTGGCCCATGGAAGCATCTCAGCTGTTGGTAAATCAGCAGGGGGCATTTTCTCCTTGCCCTAAATTGAGTGAGCCTGTGCCTACAGGTGATGTTCACACACTGCAAGGTTTCATCCTTTAGAGGAGACATAAAGCCAGAAGTCACTAATCTTTTACAGCCACTACAAAGGCTCTGCCAATGTGCCTTTTCAAGTACCAGCCCAGGCAGTTGCCGTACTCTAACACTGGTTATCCTCCAGTGGTACTGCTGGGAGCATTCAACGATAATTCCTGCCTTTGTGGTACCAAGAAAGTGAAGCTGAGCTGGTGTGGGTGGAATATACTGGATTTATGCTGGTGTAGACACAGAATTCTATTCTGTGCTCTCTCAATTCCTGTTGTGTATTGCTGCAGCTACAAAGAGCTGTCGAGGTACCTGATATAGCGGTTGCAGGTTGTAAAAGAGGATGAAAGGGTCTCTAAAAATATAATGGACTTAATCCTCAGCAGGTATAAATTGGCATTTATGGAGCTGCATCAGATCATACTATCTGGGATGTGGACTTAAAAAGAGCCAGATCCCGTTCTCTGTTACAGTGCTCTAAATCTGCAATAAATCAGCTCAGTGAGTAAACAAAATAGGTGAGAGAAGCCATTGTTTCTGTATGTTATTTGTTGTTGCTTTATTTCATTATTATTATGAATAGCTGTGCCTTTAACTGGGGCAGGCTCAGTCTTTCACCACTCAGCTTTTATGTTTTATTACCTTATCAATAATGAATGTACATGAATATGTAATAACCAGCTATTTAATTAATGCATTCAACATTGTGAGACTAGCAATGAGTAAAATCTATACTCTTTTAAGAAAAAGAATAGCGAATATGAGGAACTCTCTATTGCAGGTTCCTTTTCTCTGTTTTTCACTTAACATCGTAGCCAGATCAATGCTTCAAAGTAATAATTGATTCCCACATCAGATCTTTTAAGAAAAGGAAAGATGGATATCTAGAGAAGGAAAGATGAATAATAATTGCAATAAATATGTGTTTTTAAAAATAAAACACTGTTTAAGATAAAATACTGAAACTAGTATCGGTGCTTTGGGAGCATCAGCCTAAGGCAGGTGGTGGCACAGCCCTGGTATAAAGATGTTTGCACTTGGCTGTTGTTAAGGACGTGTAGTTCAGTGAAGAGAGTGAGACTATTCATTTGTTGAATATTAATTGTATAAAGGGTTTGCCAGATTTTAGTCTTTGTAACTACATGCTAAAACCTCCCCAGTTTGAAACCAGGAAAACCAGTGGGTAGGAGCCAGGAGATGTGGGTAGTTTATTGTAAGGCATTTAGCAATTCATGTCCCCTTTCTGAGGTCAATTTCTAACTGGGTGAAAGTGCCTCATGATTTTAGAGTACAAAATATTCTCTCTGACACTGGGTTTCTTGTGTTTTACAGCTGAAAATCCAATCCAGCAGAAAAAAAATGCTAATGTTGTTTTCAAGCAAAGTAATGCTTGTCATTATTATGGTAATACCATCTTTGTATGCCTCTCAGAGGTAAATACTCTTTTGTTAGATTAACTCTATACAGAAGGACTCCAGGCAAAGGATCATGTTTCATTCTTTTTCTTCTGTAATTTTAGCTGTCACCCTATTTGACTAAAATACCACCTAGTGCTTTTAGATAGATCTGTGACTCGGGACTAGTGTCAATCAAATAATAGTCACAAACAGCTTATTCAGAGTATTGCCAAATTTTATCAGGTCATTCTTTCTTGTGCATGGTACCAGCTCTTCCTAAGTCAAGATAATATTCGGGTTTTTTAATAAACGTGGTTTTGCCTTGGTCTGGAAACCTTCCTGCTGATGGAAAGGGGTAGAATTCCAAACAGAGACAGGAGAAAGTGGAGTGGACTAGTCAAACAAATTGTATTAGAGATAGAAATTTGCTATTCTTTAGTCCCTGCATTAATAAGCAATTCACCAGCACAGTTCCCCTGATAAGAACATAGCACATATCCCTGCTTGTCATGGTAACGACTATCTTCCTGTGCGAGCCATTTCTTTGATTTTTTAAGACATTTTTGGAAGACACTTTGCTGTCATGCTTGCTCTCTTATGAACAAGATGGAGATAATCCGAGTCAGAGTGCACAAACAATTCCAACTTCTTTTCTTTTGCAAAGTCTACTTACAGTTCTCTTGGCTTCCATCACCATGTACAGAGCAAATTGATTCCCAGTCGCTCTCTCTCCATTGTATTTCTTCAGCGCTGCGTCCACAGCCTTGAAGACATCAGGGTCATCACAGTCCAAAAACTCAAGTGGAAGAGGGTTGGCCCCGCTGGAGAGAAAACTACAGCAGAGCACTACTGCAATGAGAGGTTTCATAACTGGACAAAAACAGCCTCTTGAATTAGAAGGCTCTTCAAAACCCAAATGGAAAAGGAATGCCTGACGGGGCTTTAGTCACCGCTTCTGTTTTTCAGGAGCAATAGCTGAGCAAACAGGGTAGGCTGTTGAGGTTGGCTGGTTCTCCTCATACCCTGTTTATACTGCAAATAAACTTCTGGGTTTATCTAAATAAACTTTGTGTGGTCACCAAGATGACACAGAGGTTATCCACCTGCCATCAGGATCACGGCTAAATGGCTGCAGCTGGGGACAGGCTGAGACTGAGCAGGACGGCCCCGAACAACAGAGAAAGCAGAAGGACTGTGGCTTTCTGGCTGCTTCTCTTAACATCTAAACTGCTGCCGAGAATGAATTTTAGGAGGCTTAAATAAAACACTCCATAAGGTCACAGTGGCAATGAAGTTCTGGTTCTGGACAACAACCCTGTAAATTTTATAGATCTGTTTAGTGTTCAGACTGCAACAGTTCTGAGAAGTCAGACCGTGTTTGAAAAAAGATGGACATTGCTGAACGGCACCTGACTCTGCAGTAAGGCTTGGTGAACCTCCTCCTTCGTGTTCCTGCTGTGCTGCCACGGGGACCTGCCTTTGGGCTGGGGGTTACTCTGCCTCCAGAGCCACTGGGGATCGGTATGGAGAGGGGGAGGGACACCCCAGAGCAGGGGGCTGAGTGACGTTGTGTGCCTCTGGCAGAGCTGCAGTCAGGGCTGGGCACAGCTGGTGCTCCTCTCCAGTGCTCAGCACCCTCAGCTCTGCTGGGAATCTGTGCACACCTTGGGCTCGCCTCAGCTCCAGTGGCCCAGCTGTGTCTTGCTGCAAGTTTTGGTTAAGGAACGTGGACTTGAGTGACTTTGTGAATAAATGATGCCAGAAATAGGGTTGTTTGTACATGATAATGCACTTTAAAAAATTAGACAACCTTCCCTCAGTGACACAAAATGCTGTCTCTATTTTTGTTTCTCTTTCTCCAATGCAGCCCTCGCACTGTATTTTACTTTATGCCATAAAAAAAGCTACTTTGAGGACCAATTTACTGATTTTTTGAGATTAATCCCATGTTCTTGCTTATGAGATAAGTGTTCTGAACTTACTCATCGGGGTCACAGGTCTGTCTAAGTGGACTTTACCTTGATGGGGGCTAGAGTATAAAGAGACAACTGCTTCTCCCAACTCAGATGCCAAGGGGGAATGTTCAGTGATGAAAAAAACATTTACATGAAAGAGTTATTACATGCATCTGCTTTTCTGCTGCCCCGAGAGCAGTTATGAACTATTTGTGAAAGGCTGTCCTTGAAGGCACCACCAGCACCTGTAGCACTGGGAGTCCCTGGCAGGGCACCCTGCAGTGTTGCACTGCGAGTCACTGACTGCTCTCAGACCTTCTCTAGATAACAGTGGTGACCCAAACACTGATTTCTGCTAGAGAATGCCTCAGTGATGTTCACTGCACAGCTAAACAGCTGTAGTAACAGAAAAGACAAAACTTTGGCAACTGTGTCAAGAGAAAAAACAAAAGCTGTCATATTTTTATTTTCTTTGAATCTTTACAAAGCATGAAAGTAGTGCCATGGATCATGTTTTATGGAAGGCGACCAAATTTTCTCCAGGTCAGATTTCCTCAGAGAAGTACATTGTAATTATAGATGATGAGAAAATGAAAGATTTTAGATGGTAGTTTTCACTATTAGTTTTCACTATTATGGAATTTTCCTTTTTGTTACAACTAAAGGAGCATTGTTTGCTGGGGAGATTGATACGCATTCCCATTATCTGAGGGACTCCGAATTTTGAGGCTTTCAGTGACAGTGGAGTCAGAGATAGATAGCTGGGAGCACGAGGCAGGTAGGAATACTGGTCTTAAACACTATTTTCAGTTCTTCTCCTCCCTAGAAATTGTATGCTTTTCCCCCTTCTCTGTGTGCTGTTTTCATTCATGGTACGACTGTCATTGGCCCTGTAACTCTCAGACTAGGAACGTCTTTTTCTGAGGTCATGGAGGAGAATCTTCTGACATGGAGCTACGTGGAAATAAAGGCAAAAGTTTTGGAAGAACAAGTTTGGGGGTTCCGGGGCATGACTTTGACTGTTGATCTGGAAAACCCAGAGCTTCTGGCATCTCCTTTAGAGTTAAGCCAGCAAATGGAATATATTCAGCAGGGCTGGAGGAGTGAGGGCCGCTTTGGGACAGCTCAGGAAAGTTGGCAGTGGGAGGTGTGAGAGAATCCTGCTGGTTTTGAACTGGGATGCGATAGACAGCTCCTGTGATTGGGAACGGAAAGTGCTTTCCTGAGACACGGGTCTTGTTGTAGTGATGTCTGTGATAGTGATGATGGACATGAGGAGGGTGGCCTGGAGGAGGAGGGTGATATGGTCCATCATGAGGAGGAGGATGGTGGTGATGTGGTCCATGAGGAGGGGGAGGAAAGTGTGATCCATGATGGGGAGGATGGTGGTGGTGTGGTCCATGAGGAGGGGGAGGAGGACAGTGTGGTCTGTGGTGATGAGGAGGATGGTGATGATGTGGTCCATGAGGAGGGGGAGGAAAGTGTGGTCCATGATGGGGAGGATGGTGATGATGTGGTCCATGAGGAGGGGGAGGACAGTGTGGTCCATGATGGGGAGGATGGTGGTGATGTGGTCCGTGAGGAGGGGGAGGACAGTGTGGTCTGTGGTGATGAGGAGGATGGTGGTGATGTGGTCCATGAGGAGGAGGAGGACAGTGTGGTCCATGATGGGGACCAAGAGGAGGATGGCATGGTTCATCATGGGGAGGAGGAGGAGAAGGGAGACCATATAATTGCTCTTGGGGAGGAGGAGGAGAAGGAAGACCATATAATCTGTCTTGGGGAGGAGGAGGAGAAGGGAGACCATGTAACTTCTCTTGGGGAGGAGGAGGAGAAGGGAGACCATGTAATTTCTCTTGAGAAGGAGGAAGATGATGTTGTTCATCATCTGGAGGAAGAGCAGAAAGGGGATGTTGGTGCTTCTCTTGGGGAGGAGGATGTGGACCATCATGGGAAGGAGGAGGAGGAGGGTGGTGATGTGGTCCACCATGAGGAGGAGGTGGAGGACAATGGTGTGGCGGGTGAAGGTGGTGATGTGGTCCATCGTGGGGGGGAGGAGGAGCAGGTCCTTCATGGCTGTCTTGATGTTCTTTGTTGAAACTATGGTTATGCTCAGAGTCTTCAGGTCTGGATTGAGAAGAGGGTGGACATCCATGCCTGTGATGATGCCTGGGATGGTGTCTGTGACCAGAATGATGATGGAGATGGGGGTGTCCCAGAGTTGAATGTCTGCATCTTTGCCCACGGTGATGCTGCTGTTTATAGAAACACCAGGGGAGGAAATATTAAGCGTGATGTTAATAGGACAGAAGAAAGTGGTGAGAAAGAGAGGGAGGTGGGAGTTAGTAGGTTTGCATTTACAGTTCTGGTGATCTGTAAGAAACGAAACCTGTGGTTTTTTCAAGGTAGAAGAGAAGGAGTAGATGATAAAATGCCAAATTACTGAAAATAATCTGGAAATACTACACCATAACGAAACGAAATAATATAAGCAACTGACCACAATTTGTGATGAATCAAAACAAACTAAAGCCCACACTGGAGTAGCTATTGTCAAACAAACTGGAACACCAGGTGTGATAAAGATCATCTCCCCTCCTCCCGCTTTCTAAAATTCTTTTGAAAGTTTGCCAATTTCTACTGACTTTAACTTAGGAGTATGATTGGACAGAGAGGAGACATCCTTGGAGGGAGTATTAGGGGCAGCTCAAGTCAAAAGCCAGTCTGTCCTGACCTGCTGTGTCACCCCCAGGTGACAATAGAGGGACACAAAGCCCCCCTGCCATGGTCTGTCCCTGTGGGGTGGGTGAGGCTGGTGTCCCTGCAGGGACAGGGGGTGTTCAGTGTGGGGGTACGTACGCAGTGATGGTAGATCTCACAGCTTATGGCTGTCCCATCAGGGCCCTCCACATCACTGGTCATTCTCGCCTTGCAGAATCCCACGTGCTGAGCAAAAGAAAAGAAAAAAACAAAACAATGCCCATCTGGGTCCTTCTGATGGAATTAATAGAAGCTCCTGAAAGTTCAACATTTAAAAGTTGGGATACTTCCTTCCATACCTAAGTATGTTTAATTAATTGGATCTTGAGCTTTCTGACCAAGGTTAGTTGCCAGTCATTAACAGTGACTAAAATATAGGCTATTTTTGAGTGTTCTTGACTGTGAAGACCACTTTGCCGTGTGTGGCCAGGGGACTGCTGCTCTTCTTCTTGCTTCTCTTTGGATCTGTAAGAAACTGCTCAGCTACGGATGTCCCCAAAACGAGTACCCTGGGGGCCGCTGGTTTTTATTCCTTTTTCTCCATCTTTGCTTGTCAAACATCTGTTCAGATTGGGCTATGCTGAAATTTTGCTCAAAGTCCTCAAAACTGGAGACTGAGTAGCTGTGTGGTTTCAGCCAAGGCTCAGGGGGGAGCTTTCTTTCCTGTTTCTTTTTTGTTGGAATCTCTCCATGTTGCTTCCCTCAGCGTCCCGGTCGCAGTGACTGTCCCCCGCTGCCCGCTCACTGCCTGGGGGATCACTGGTGAGGAAGAGCAGGGAACTGGGGGGGAGATGCTGTGTGTGCTCTCCCCAGGGGATGCTTTGTCTTGATATGGGCTTGGGCCATTAGTAGCCAGTTGGGATCAGTGATTACAAATGTTAATAGCATTTTACACACACCCCCCACCCCGTGAGGGAGCATTGAGAACAGAATTCAAAACCTCTAACTGTCTGCCTTGTGCTTCATTCTAGTGAACTTCTGGCTTTTATTTTGATTATGTATTTTTATTAATATATTTTTACTCATATCATTATATTATTATTATTTATTATATTCCTTCAATTCAATTTCTGGGGAATAATTTATTCTGAAATTAGGATCTTGCCTAATTGCTTCTTAGGTACAGACTATTATTGCAGTGGGAAGGTGGGGTGAGGAGAGCACTCTGCCAGCAATCTGCAGACAAGCCTGAATTATCCCACTCCCCGTTCCCCTGCAGCAGTGGGAAACAAAAGTAACCCTGGGCTCACATGCACTTTTTTCAAGATCTATGACTCATGTTTGTGTTAAAGTATGAAATAGCCTGAATGATTTCCTAGGGAATGGCCACGATTGGAACATGCCAGACCCAAAGGGAGTAGCTCAGCCCTGGGTCTGTAGTACGCCACTCCAGTTAGGTTAGATTGGAGAGTTCAAACTGGGTCCTTATTCAATGGAAAGGAGCAGCTGCAAAATTAGGATCTGGACTAGGACTTTCTGAATTTTTAATTTTGAGATGGGTGCATGCTTATAAGAAACACTTGGAAACATTGTGGGAAGGTCTTCCTGGTGCCCCCCTGTACCAGTTCTCATTGTAAGGCTTTACTTACAGCGTGCCAGTCATCCAGAAAATCACATTCCCCCACCTCATCTGCTGCTTCTGCCAGTTTGGAGCAGTTGGTCTCTTTTATAGAGAATCCTAAAATGTAACCTTCATGGGAGGCAGTCTGAAAGCGAGAGGTCAGACAAGAACTGGTAACTAGGTGTACTTAAAGCCCTAGAATTTTAAAAACAAACAAACTTCATATTGTCAAAATCCTGTCTATCTCATGCTTTCTTTACCTGTGCTGTTCAAATGTTCAATGTTCCCATAGTTTTGGAGCTGCTCACAAAATTTTGTCATTTATAAGTAATTCTAGGACAAAATGCCACTTTACCAGCTTTAAAATCTTTTCAACTTTGTCCACGTTGAAGTAGTTTGTGTGGTTACTCTCCCTGTTGAATTTCTCCAGGGCCTTTGCAGCAATATCTTTATGTTGCTCGGTGACTTCTAAGGCTTCAACTTTCTCAGGACAATCTTTGCAGTCTAATAGATCAGGAGGAACTGTGAAAACAGAGAATTCCTAATATTGCAAGGGGCAGTAATGCTCTTGGGAGTGTGATGTACCTTTAACGGGAACTCTTAATGAGAAACTGAACTGCAAGTGAAATACCTATCCCTCACAGGTTTGCCCTGTAACATGAAAAAAACCCAAACCTGTGAAAAGGAACATTCTTATAAAGCTTTTAGCTCCACCTTAGAATCTTGCCACTCCAACCAGGCATTCTTTCCAAGTTTACTTTTTTTCTGATATTCATTATGATGTTTTGGTGGACTGGAATGGAGCTATCATCTGACATTAATAAAGGCTGCTGTAGAAGAGCAGGGTAGCCTTAATTCTATTACTCATTCTTAACATTCCACTCGAATTATCTCAAATATGAATTGCAAGCAGATGAGTGAGTCTGTTAGGGTTCCCATACAAGGGTAGTGCACAGAGGGGTAATTTGGCACTAGGGCTGGTTTGAGGTACGTATGCACTTACAGCAGGGGTTACTTTACCTGGACTTAATGTACAATTAAATCCATATAGTTGAGGCCTCTTCAGCAGCTGCCTTGTATATGTGACAATCTTACACTGCCCATAGTCCTGAGAGGAAAAAGGAATAGGTGATTATGATGTTATTTTCACTGGATTTAATTGGATATAGGTGATCATAGAAATTAACCTCCTTTTAATGTACAGTAAGAATAACAGATGTGGTCATTAATGGAATGTTTGATCTGCTACCAGTCAAAATTTGTGTTTGGATAAAATGGGATCACCCTCTACAAGAGCCTTTATTTTAATTCTCCGTTTGCTTGACTGAGTAGACAATGGAAATTCTAATAATTATTTCCAGTGAGATAATAGCAGCAGGGGAAGTTGGGGTGCCAGAGATACACAGGGTTATGCAAATCTTTATCAAAACATGGAGGGACCTTTTCTTCCACTCCTTTTCCCCATCCTAACAAAAAGAGTAGAGGCCTTCTCTTGTCTCCGTGTGGCCTCCCTGCTTTGTCCTGTGTGGCAGTGACACCGCTCTCCTCTTTAAGCGAAGTCTTGGAGGGGTAGTTCTCACCCCAGAGCGTGTCACTGGTTTGTGACAATAAAGGCCAAGTATCACTCCATGTCAGCTGTGTACTGACACTGCCCATGTGTCACGTTCCACAAACACTATGGCAGAAAACTGACAAGATATGGCACCGGTATCTCTGGCTAATACACTAGGAACGTGCTTGAAAAAAGGATTTCTCATGCCCTTTAGTTGTCAGCAAATTATTCTTAAACCATCAGTACTGCCACCAGCAGGGGAATGGGGACTATGGCTCCTTTGAGACAACCAGTTAAATAAAGTTGTGCTTATTTGAGGAGTCATCTCTTTTCCAGAACTTTAGCTTATGTCTGACAACTCCAGATTTCAGTAGATTTTATTTTCTAGTGAGCCATATTAAAGCCTAATCTTCACTTTGGGATTTCGGGGCACAGGCATCTCTGGGCAGGTCAGACAAAGCTCACGTTCCTGAGCTGTGACTCCTCCTGGGGCCGTTACTTGCCATGGAGTAGGTGTCACTGTATCCACAGGACTGCCAGTGTCTTCTGGACAACACAGGGCATTCCGTTTCCAGCACATCCAAAGTTAAGTAGAGGACTGAGGAATTTCCCTGGAAGAGAAGGGCAGGTAAAAAAGAGTTTGTATACGAGAAGTTTGGTCTGGAAGAAACATTTCTTTTGGAAATAGATAATGCAGCTTCCCCAGTTCCCTATGAAGGTTTTTCTGAGCTGAGAAGCATAGAAAGAATTCAGGCTGGAAGTGACCTCTGGAGGTCATCTCGTCCAGTCACTTGCTGAAGGTAAAGCTAACTTCAAAGATAGCTTCAGCTGAGCTCTGTGTGTCACCTGGACAGATGTTCCACAGCCTCTCTGGGCTCCTCCAGTACTTACCCACTTTTTCTATGATTTTGGGGGCTTTAAAATCTAGTCTGAATTTCCCTTCCTGCAGCTTACAACTGTTACCTCTTACCCTGTTGTTGAGAATCCCTGAGAGGAGTCTGGCATCCATCAAGTAGGGGAAATGCTGCTGTTAAAACGCTGCTGTTCCCTCTCTGTGAGTTTCCCGTAGAACACACTGGTCTGTCAGGGGACAGTTGTCTGGGCAGCCAGTGTCACAGCTACAGCCAGGCCAGCTGAGCCCACAGGCCACAGCCTCCTCCAGAACTTTCCTTTCCTGGTTATTTTATTTCTCAGTTTATTCAGGGATTGATGCAACAAAGCTGTAATAATCCCCACAAATCCAGGAGCCCTAGCTCTGACATTCTAGTATGTTCTGTCTCCTGAGCAAGCAGGATGGAGAATCAGAATTTGAATTTTGCTGCCAGCATCATGGGATGTGGTGGTAAGAACTACCTGTGGCCCACAGAAAGAGTTTTGTATTTTTCTGCAGGAAAATGAATCTCAGTTCACATTTGGAATAGATTATTTAAGCTTCATGCAACCCCTGTCTGGACATTCAGAATGAACACAGACGTATTTCACTTTGTCATTTAGGTAAAATGATGCAAAGCCCTTCACTGTGAATAAAGGTCCTCAGGTTTTATGAAACGTCACCCATTCAGATTCCTTTTTCAGAGTGTTTCTATACAGAGCAGACCTTGAGAAAGAATTACCGCAGTCTGGTGTAATGTTTTCGTTAGTGAGAGCCCAGCAGTGTCACGTTAAACACCGGGGTTGCTGTGTGTGAATGTGCTGGTGTTGTCTCTGGGTTTAAAGTAGGGGCTCAGTGGTTTGCACAGAGACACGTGTGATTCAGTTCCAGAGTCAGGGAAAGACTGGAGCTGCCCTGGGCACCATCCTGCTGCTGGAGTGCTCTCTGCTGAGGGGCAGTCACCATTGCTGCGTGTCCTTGGTCTCTCTTAGCTCCTGGTTAAAGACATTTGGTATTCTTTTGCTTTTTCTGCTGTTGATTTGCTTTGGCATTTAGGCAGTCATTGGGGAAGGCTTATGTATCCTCTCTAGGAAGCAGAAACAGAAATAGGAGGGCAATAGGAAATGACTGACACGGGTTTGCTCTCCAGCCCTTCCCCTGCTTTGCAGAGCAGCATTTTCCTCTCCTTTGGCTTCCTCTGCCGCTTCCCCTCCCATCCAGTTATCCAGTTCTCTCCAAAATTCAGCTAATAACATAATTCCCATCTTGCAGGATACATTGTTCTAACTAATGTTAGACATTTGCAGATTAAAGAAACCCTCCAAATGTAAATGTTGATTGTAACATCCAAGGCCTGACAGCAGACCCAGAGAGATTAATTTCTGCTGGTGTACAGAGCTTTCAGAGCATCCTTACCCCAGCCTCCTGCAGCCGAGAGAGCAGAGGGCGTTCAGCAGCCCTCGAAATCAAGCTTACGTACAATAAATCATGCCCAAATGAGTACTGAGATAGTGTAAATCAGAGCTGATGCATTGAGTTACATCAACATTTCTCTGTTAAAAGCAATAAACATACGCTTTTAATGATCTGGCTCATTATTTTAAAATCACAGCCCTGTGTGGATCAGCCTTGGGGTTGGTACTTACGAGGAGCAGTCTGTGTGCGTCGGCGACACGGAAGAGCCCCAGAGCGTAGCCGTCCCTGCGGTGCCTGTTGAGCAGGTCCAGGGCCACCGCTGCCTCTGCTTCCACTGTGGTACAGTCAGCAGGGACCAGGCTGGGGCTGGGCCGGGCGCCGGAGGGAGGCAGCAGGGCCAGGAGCAACGCTGAAGCTACAAGCAGCATTTTGTTTGCAGGGTGAAGTCACTCCTGCCCATGCTCCGGTACAGCCAGTCGTCTGCTCTTAAATCACAGTAGCCCCCCAAAGTTATAAATAAATGCTAAGGCAGCATGGTTTTATATAAATTTAGGTGTTGTGTCAGAGGGCCGTTACCTTGACCCTGGATTAACATTGGCAAACAGCAGGTAAATGATTATATAATGATTGAGCGGATTTTTGAGGAAAATAGGCCTTATAATAGTCTCTGGAGTACCCATCAAAGGGACTCTGTTTGTAACTCTTTAAGCAGGCGTTGTGCAATAGTGTTTTACTGTGAAAAATACTTGTGGCAGTGTGCTGCTGAGCCAGGCATCAGGAAGGTCCAGTTGATGTGTGCAGGTATTGTGCAAGCTCGATCTTCTGTTGACTGTAAAAACAGTTGGACTGAAGGAATGCTGAAATGTTTGTGGTCAAGTGACAGCTCTGTCCATACCCCTGTGCTTACAGACCCTTACCCAGCGGAGAACTGGCACACGGGAGACAGGGAGATGGCTCAGATGTGGAAGAGCTGAAGGTGCAGTTGCAGCTGGTGCTCTGTAGCTGCTGGGTGGGTACCTGCTGCTCTTCCAGCAGCAGGAGAGGGGGAGCAGGGTCCTGCCAGCTTTCCATCATTCCGGACTGGTACCCAGGGTGGGACAGACTGGTTCCATACCCATGTCATTAGGCATGGCATCAGAATGCCCTTGCATTGTCAGTCTGAGCAGGTCTGTGAGCTCTTGGGCTGGAGCAGCCTTCATGGGCTTCTTTAGAGAATGGCTGGTAACTTTTTGTATTTATGAAAATAATTCGGTACCTACTAAATTCATACCTTTCCCAGGATACACCCATGTCCTCTGCTACGCAGAAAGGAGAAGATGTTGTTTCATTGTCCTAAAAATCTTTTATTCAGGATAGTTTCAGACATTCTTAAAAGACAGTAATCACTTGTCAGGGAGTGGCTGGAGTTTGAATACAAAATTCAAACTCTGAATAAAAAAATACATCAATTCTATGTGAGTCCAAAATGACAAGGTCGGACTCAGATGAGAACATTTCCAAATCCTGGTTGGTGTGAAGGGTTGGATCAGCTGTAGAAAAAGCTGTGAGCTACATAATTGACTTGGGTTTACATGTTTGGCTTTGAACTTTTGCTCTAACTTATTTTTATGAGAAATGTTGGGGAATATAATGGGTGATCATCCTTAACCCTTACATCATTTAATTAATCCTTATTAAAAGAAAATAATGACATTTTTAGAATGTTTGGTATCTAAGAAATCACATTTTAGGCTGCATAGAGCTGAAGCAGTGGCTTTCTTTTACAGTTAGTTCAGGACACACAGTTCTCTGGTAGTGGATAAGCTAAATGGAGAATTTTACAATATCAGAACCCAGGGCACTCAAAACTAGCGTGAATCAGTTTAAAATGGATAAAAATAGTCCCCGCACAATGGGGAGTGAACTTCTGGAACTTGTTGCCACAGAAGAAGGTGGAGGCAGAGAGTAGTGGCAGGGTCGGCAATGGCTTAGGAAAGTTCAGGGGCAGCAGGTCGTTCGGTGCTGCTGGAAGGACCCAGCAGATGAAGCGCTCCCTTCAGTCCCCAGTACGATGGTCTGGGCACTGGAAAAGTACCAGGGCACTGGTTTGCAGGAGGGGCAGGAGGGATGCTTCTCCAACCACGATTCTCCTGTGCCATGGTGAGACAGGGATACTGGGCTGACGCAGGAGGGCACTTCTTTTGTTTATGTTTTTATAATGTTTCATTAGAATAATTTAGAATTTCTTGTGGAAGACTGAAAAAAAAAAAAGTGTTGAAAGAATAAAGTATGAAAGTATAAATAATCAAAGACATTTGAAATACATCTCATCGGTTAAAAATCGTATTCACATCATTGCTGTGTTCCCAATCGCACCCCCATTCATTACTTACAATACTCTTTAATTTTTCAAATGGGCAGTCGTATTGCAGAGAGGCATTAGGTAATTTATAACATAATTCCCCATGTCGTCCATTGTTTGCAGATTGCTTGTTCTTTTATTCTCCTTTTGTTCTGTGCTGTTCATTGTGACACCCATCATTTTCTTGACAGTGGCTTATGTACTTTATATGTATGAAATAGAAACACTATGAATAAACAGTAGAAAACGTACAATTCCTGCAAAATTGACTGCAGAAGTAAAAGTGAGATTCTGATCCCACTGTAGAGAGTTCTGGCCTTGATTTCTTTGGAGAAGAAAGATTGGACTCTCTGATTGCAGTGCGGTTGGACAAGCACTCCAGGCACAGTTAATTAAACACTGGTTGTACTTGAGTCAGTATAATGTATTGTTATCATTTATCATCCAGTTTGATATCTTTTTTAATACTTATTTTGGTTTTATATTTATTGCTTGTCAGTTGTGTGGTTTGTTTTAGTGAAGCTGTTTCTTCAAAGAGATAGCTGGCAGGAGTAGGAATAGTTATCCAAACGTGGCATTTCTCTTGACTGCCTTGTCAAAAGCTTCTTTATCTCTGTGGCTTCTCCCAAGGCTTGCCTTGCAACGGGAAGAGGCGATCCATATGCAGACTTGAAATAACTGGTAATAAACATCCAGCTTAAACCTCTCCCCAGAAATCTGTGAGAACACACCAAGAAGTGGCTTATCTTCCCCACTTGAAAAACAGGGTATCAAATGCTTAATAAATAGAACTTTATTCTAGAGGGGGAAAGAAAAAGACAGCTGACACATGGAGGAGATAATATTCAATAAGTAATTACTTCTTCCCCAAAGCACAGCCGTAACTATTGCAGATGTGTGTGGTTTCTGGGCTGCTCTCTGCCCCCCGCAGCCGCGCTTCGCTGGGGCTGGGGTCTGCAATCGCGCAGCTCGGGCACTCCTGGAGCAGCAGGACCTTCTCCATCTCACAGCCCCTGCTGCTCTGCAGCTCCTGGGGCTTCCTCTCCTGAGCAAGGCACAGCCAGCAGACACCTGCGGCTCCACTTGCTCACAGGAGAGCTATTTGCTACCTTCTCTGTACATTTGTTTAAGTCTGTGATGCCTCGTACCTTCAGATCAGGGTGGGCCTGATTTTACACCTTGTTGCAAAAAGAAAAAAAAAAAAAAAAAAAGACTGTAGTTTTTGGAGTAGCTTCACATTTAACAGAAATGCCCCCAAATATGATGGAAAAAGACCTCCCTCCTGGTCTGGTGGGAGGTGTCCCTGCCCATAGCAGGGGGGTTTGAACTCGATGACCTTTAAGGTCCCTTCCAACTCGAACCATTCTATGATTCTATGAAAAATATGTAAATGTGTCAGGTCTTTGTTCATGCCCTGTCATGTTCGTGCCCTTTGTCATGCCCATGTTCATGTCATGTCATTGACACCTGCTGGCAGGGTGCCCTCTGATGCAAATGTGACATTACACAGATTTGCCTGGGTTACGGTCTCCAGAGCAGCCCTCACAGCTCTGGCTGCCCCTCCCTGCCTGCAGCTTGTTTTTCTCTACCAGTCACCAGTTTCTTATCAAACTTTTAGAATCTTTGTCATCTCCATCAAATTCTGTTCAAACAGACCTTCAGTTCAGCAGCTGTTTGGAGGAGAGGAGCTGCCAAGTGAGCAGGCTGACAGCCCAGCTACAGAAGTCTCGCTGCTGAGGAGGCCTGGAGAGCTAAGGGAGGGAATGAAAAGGGTGTCAACGCTCCTTCTCGGGTCCTCAGTGCCTTTGGCTGCAAGTTATTTTCTGGAAAAAACCACCCTAATTGTAAGTTGATGAGCTTATGGATATGGTGCAGGACTGACCTGTTGGCTGAGGGGCCTGAGAGCCTGGGGAAAAGGAGTTTGATGTTAAGGATGGGGTCAGAGAAGGTTCCAAAGGATTTGACTCTTTCAGGGCTTGTGCCATTATACTGTTCTGAAATGATAAGCTTTAACTCATGCTTACAAGTTGTAGTGCGTTAAGGGAAGTATCAGCAACTGCTGTGACTGTATAGTATTTATGATTATATCTAGTGGGAGGTCTCTAAAATCTACCTTTGCAATCAAAATGCTCTCTGCATATCCCAGATACGGCTGCTCAACACGTACGGTCTCAGAGATGCAGAAGAAAGTGTTTAACTGTGTAGTGTGTACAATGGGCAGGTTCTGAAGTCAGACAAATAGAATTTGTAATTAACTTGTTTTATAAAAAGCCTTGATTTTTAAACCCATCTTGAGAAATTTGATGTCTGGGCCTTGCTTTTTTAAATCTTTTTGATTGGCCAAGGGTGAGTGTAGGAGAGGGCTAGCTGAAAACTGTAACCAAATGCAGAGCCAGTGCATGCATAAATCAGCCATCGTTTCTGGCTCTGTACCCTTGGAATGGTCATTCCCTTGGAATCATCATTCTGTGATTCTGTAACGTTGCTGCCCCCGTGTATTAAATCTGTGGAATCAGCAGCAGGATGTGAGGTGGTGATGGCTGAACTCACACCAGTGCCACCTGGGAGCATATCCTGGGACATCCCGAGGACAGAGGAAACACAGAAACTACCCATCTTCAGATCCTACTTGCAGTTCAAGCTGTCAGCCTGGCGGGTTAGCTCCAGGCCTCAGCTCTGGCAAGCACTGGTGGTGGCCTAGGTGACACTGGAAGCTGGGGACAGGCCCTGCTGTCCCGGGGTGGCCACAGCAAATAAAATGCCCGTGGATGTGCACCGGCCGCTGGTGTTGCTGATCTGCACTGCAGATACACCTATCACCTAGATAAACAGCCCTTCTCCTATTTATTTTTAAACCACAGAACTCTTTGAACTCAAATCTCAGATCCAAGCTAGAGAAATTATTGATTCAAATGTCACTTCTGAGCCTCGTCTGGGAGCAGGGTAAGCAATACCCAAACCGAAGCTGAGAGCCGCCCATCCAGACTCTCGGGTGTTCGCTTTAACCCCCGGTTTGTGCTCCCACCAGCTCCACTCATTTGTCTTCCCTTGCTGCAATCCCTGTTCCATTTACCCTCGTGAGCAGCTGGTGTCAGGAGAGAACTGGCTGAACTGGGCAGCGCTGTCTGCGCCAGCGGTGAGTGAAGCTGATCTCCTCCCCAGTGCTCCTTTTGGGAAGAGTCCGGCCCCACACAGGGACACAAACCTCAGCAGTGTCAGTGGTGCGGGCAGGGAGTGTCCCTGGGGGAGGCAGGACACGCTGGGGGCCACAGGGAACCCCCAGCTGGTGAGGGGGGGACATCCCGAGGGCACCCTGGGCTGCTGGGATGTGCTGACTCGTAAAACCGGGAATGTTGGCACAGCCTGGAGCTCGTGCTGCGGGAAGGGCTGGAGGGAATTCAAATTCTAACATTTCTGGTGAACTACCTGATTTTGAATTGTTTTCTCCTCTGAAATGAATGAGACCAGAATGTGTTGAAGTTTCTCATGATGTGGAATTGAAATGGAATTCTCTTTGGCTCAGCCGATGTGTTTCACACATCACTCTTGGGCTTGTTTTAATCTTTGAAGCAAATAAATTACTCCTTTATATAAAATTTATGGTTTTAAGAGTTTTGCAAACTGAAAAAACAGATATATTTGTTGTGAACCTAACTCCATACAGTATTTAAATATTATTTCATCTTAACTTGAAAGAAAAGAATACTTTTATTTACATTTTATTTATAATAATAAAATAATATATTTTAATCAAATTGTGTAATGTCAGAATACTTTAACAAAACCATAATTTTTTGTTGAAAGGCTCTGTGAATGGAGAAATTATCCAACATCTCTAGGGATGATTCAGCAGCATAAAAGCTTCAGAAACAATAATATTTTATTGATTATGTTCTGAACAAATGATTTTACAGATCTGGTGGCAACTAGAGAAAGGCTCTGTAGCCTCTCATACGAGCCCCATAATTATTGTAAATATCACTGTACTCCTGGCCACAAATGACATTTCTTTCCAATGTTCACTCTTTTTCTTCTTCTTGTCTCCTCATCTATTTATATTTGTTATTGTCAATAAACAATTGCTATGTCTGGCTTTAGTGAAATTGATTTTTCTTAGCTCCGGGCTGTAGAGTGTCCCTGTGGTTTTTATTCTAAGGCAGTTAATGTGACCTGTCTCAAGAAAGAATTAGGCTGAATTTGTAAATCATCGTTTTTCCTGCAGAGCAGGGTCAGTAAAGCAGAAGGATCGGAACCGCCTGGTCTTGATCCTCCTCCGGCCAGAACACCCTGCAGAGGTTTCACACCTTTCCACCTTCTTGAGGCAAGGGTATAAAGCATTAGAAAAAGAGTCACCTTTCTTGAGCTCTCCCAGGGCAGGGCCCACCCGACCCCCCTTTCCTCCGAGCCGCTTTGTGGCCCCTCCTGAGCTACGGCTCCTGCTGCGCCGCGGCTCTGCCCCTGCCCGGCCACGCACCCGCATCCAGCCTGGCACCTTCCCTCACCACACACAGTAACCTTCCCTCTGGGATCTACCCCTGGGGGGAATCAGAGAATTAAAAGCCAAAATCTTTTGTTGGGAAATGCCCCAGTTAAATTTCTTTTTCTAATCTTGTGCTTTCTTAAAACTGAGAACTCCAACGATGAAGACGGTAATAAGCAATTTATTTATTTAAGGACATAACACAAATGGAAAGATTGGGTTGCCATTGTGGCTGCTGTTTTGTGTCAGGTAGTTGAGGTGGTTGGATGCTGGCTAGGCTTTGGTAGGCTTTTTTGGCAGCAAAGATTGGATGATGTAATTTGTCTCCTTTGCTTCTCCTGGGCATGAGTCTGATAGAGAAAGTTCTTCAGGAAAAGGGAGAATAACTGGTCCAGTGACTGGTTTGGTCAAGTCTGCTTTGTCTACTGGAGTCTTTTCTCCATCGAGACCGGGTGTAGCTCCTATAACTTCAGGTGGAACTGGATTTCCATCTTCATGTTCATTTTGACCTTCTGGTAGGTGTTGGGAAGACATGTCCTCTGTTGAAGGGGGTAGAATTCTAACCCAGCCCACCGTTTTTTCCAGGTGAGGGGAGAAGGGGTTGGTTTCTGAAGGTGTCTGAGTCGTTGGCTGGTCCCCCTCTTCAGTGGCAGGATCCTAGATAACAGGCACTGAGCATTACCCCTACTGAAACTATGCCAAATTCTTTCAGGTATGAAGGTCACCCTTCACACTGAGGATCTGCTGCAATTCCCATCTGCAAAGACCAGCTGCAGAGCAGAAGCTCCAAGGACAGACAGATTGAGCTCCTTGTGCCAGTGGGGACGGATGCCTGGAACTTGGGTAACACCACAGTTACTGCTCTTTGCATTCCCTTCCTTATTTACAATGTCTTTGCAGAGCATTCTGAACAGTTTGGGTATGATACACTTACTCTATGGCCCTTTTATCCTTTTATCCACCCAGCAACACTGTTTTATCACAGGAGAGATTTCCTCCTGATCTGGCCCATATCTGGCCCATATCTTTGTGGATAAGAAACCTTAAAAAAGGCTGGGCTTTCAAGACTTCCATTATTGTTTTGTAAAGAAGTATTACTCTTGCAATATTAAGATTAGATTAAGAAATACCTGCGGGCTGTAGATTTCACAGGATACTGTGACATACTGTTTATGTTCCATGTCACTCCTTACTACGGAGCCTTTGCAGAAACCTGTTTTCTGGAAGAAGAAAATGCAAGAGCTTTTTCACATTCTAGCACTGATACTTAGCTCCTATCTTGTAAAAGAGGTGATTATGAAAGGCTGAATAGTCAGAGCTTCTCCAAGTATTTGTAGGGATAAGCAGCTTGGGCAAACCTTTATTTTGGGCTTGGCAGGCTTACAAAGGCAGGCAGCGTTTGGAAAGGGCTTTATGTTTGCAAAGGAGGGTTAGGGAACAGGAGAGCAAAAATAAGCTGCCACTTAAGCCCAACAACAACAGCACACACAAGTTCTGCTGCAGCAGAATATCCCCGTGCAGGCAAGTCATGTAATAGAACATAATAGCATTTTTTTCAGGCAAAACCCATTTCACACCGTACTAGTGGAGGGAACCATGAGAACATGTTGTTTCTCCTGGCTGTGGTGTGACTGGGCTGCAGGTGCCATGGCTGGGGCTCGGGGGCGGCGCTGGCAATGTTCTCTCCTGGCAGTGTGCCTGTTTAGGCTTTCCCTTTCTCCTAGAATCTTTTCCTTAGTACCTAAATGTTCTCCTCAGCTGAGCTGGTTGTGGTATGAGTACACTCGTTATGCATTGTCTGTGACTCATTGTGTGGGTTCACTTGGAGGAGATCCTTAAGAACAGATCAACCCAGCCCACCGTTTTTTCCAGGTGAGGGGAGAAGGGGTTGGTTTCTGAAGGTGTCTGAGTCGTTGGCTGGTCCCCCTCTTCAGTGGCAGGATCCTAGATAACAGGCACTGAGCATTACCCCTACTGAAACTATGCCAAATTCTTTCAGGTATGAAGGTCACCCTTCACACTGAGGATCTGCTGCAATTCCCATCTGCAAAGACCAGCTGCAGAGCAGAAGCTCCAAGGACAGACAGATTGAGCTCCTTGTGCCAGTGGGGACGGATGCCTGGAACTTGGGTAACACCACAGTTACTGCTCTTTGCATTCCCTTCCTTATTTACAATGTCTTTGCAGAGCATTCTGAACAGTTTGGGTATGATACACTTACTCTATGGCCCTTTTATCCTTTTATCCACCCAGCAACACTGTTTTATCACAGGAGAGATTTCCTCCTGATCTGGCCCATATCTGGCCCATATCTTTGTGGATAAGAAACCTTAAAAAAGGCTGGGCTTTCAAGACTTCCATTATTGTTTTGTAAAGAAGTATTACTCTTGCAATATTAAGATTAGATTAAGAAATACCTGCGGGCTGTAGATTTCACAGGATACTGTGACATACTGTTTATGTTCCATGTCACTCCTTACTACGGAGCCTTTGCAGAAACCTGTTTTCTGGAAGAAGAAAATGCAAGAGCTTTTTCACATTCTAGCACTGATACTTAGCTCCTATCTTGTAAAAGAGGTGATTATGAAAGGCTGAATAGTCAGAGCTTCTCCAAGTATTTGTAGGGATAAGCAGCTTGGGCAAACCTTTATTTTGGGCTTGGCAGGCTTACAAAGGCAGGCAGCGTTTGGAAAGGGCTTTATGTTTGCAAAGGAGGGTTAGGGAACAGGAGAGCAAAAATAAGCTGCCACTTAAGCCCAACAACAACAGCACACACAAGTTCTGCTGCAGCAGAATATCCCCGTGCAGGCAAGTCATGTAATAGAACATAATAGCATTTTTTTCAGGCAAAACCCATTTCACACCGTACTAGTGGAGGGAACCATGAGAACATGTTGTTTCTCCTGGCTGTGGTGTGACTGGGCTGCAGGTGCCATGGCTGGGGCTCGGGGGCGGCGCTGGCAATGTTCTCTCCTGGCAGTGTGCCTGTTTAGGCTTTCCCTTTCTCCTAGAATCTTTTCCTTAGTACCTAAATGTTCTCCTCAGCTGAGCTGGTTGTGGTATGAGTACACTCGTTATGCATTGTCTGTGACTCATTGTGTGGGTTCACTTGGAGGAGATCCTTAAGAACAGATCAGTTTTGGAAGGCGATGGCTACCCCGCCTGGTTTTGAATGTTTGGTTGTTTTTTTTTTCTGTTTTCTTTATTCATGGATTTCTAGGTAAAAATTCAGAATTTTTACTGAAATGTTTTCTCTGTTCTAAAGCAGTTTGTACAGTTGCAAGACAGTATAGGGCCATAACCCTTAAAAAGGCGCCTGTGGGCTCTGATTCCTGTCTGCAAAGAACCAAAGGGGTAGCTGAGTATTCCCTGAGGAACCCCGGTACCCGAGACACAGGTGTTTATACGAGAAATACTCACAGCTGGTTCTGGGGCAAGAGGCTTGCACTGGGAGATGTCAGCAATCGTGTCGGTTTTGGAGCAGGATGTCTCCTGGATTAAAAACTCTACAAAATATGCAGGACCAACGACCCACTGTTAATGAGAGACCAGTGACAATTAGACCTTGTGCATGTGTCAGGAAGAAGGAAGGTTCCTACAGACCTTGAGACAGATGTAAAACTCCTGCTGAGTGTGGAAGGGGCAGGTTGGACTGGGGCGTTACTGTTAGTCTATTACAGGAGGATGGGTTTTTGCCAGTACTGCCTTATTTCCTGTTGGAGGATGGGTTTTTGCCAGTACTGCCTTATTTCCTGGTTTGTTTTTTTTTTACTTCTTATATATGTGCAATCTTAGTAACTCAGGGATTGAAATATGTAGTTGAAATGAGTTTGGGGTTTGTAGTAAGTTAGCATCCATATAGAACTATGTATCAGTGCCTTGGTGATTGTTTCTTGCTGCTTCAATGAACGGGATCGCTTTTTGTATGTCTGAAATGCAAGTACCCCAGGGCTGGAAAATGGGAGCAATTAAATACTGTGTTGTAGTAATATCAAACAGTTTGAGACAAAGAGTGAACATCACCTTGTTAGCTATATATAATGAATTTTAGAGACACCCAATATTACGATGGTAAACAAACAGGATTTAGCTAGGAGATCATTAACTCTCTGTTAGTCTAAAAGTAGTTTTAAACTGTGTTTAAACTCATTCAGTGTATTACAGGTACCTGTTGGAAGGGATGACTGTGAGTACTTTCTATTAGGGACTCACTAATTCATGGGGCTTATAGAAGAAAGAGCCCAGAGTGAATCTTTCCTAAACTTTGGAACCCAAATCTGTGTCTTCAGCTTTGCATAAAGCCCTTCTTTTTGCAATAAATCGAGTCAAAGTCTTGAATTAAGGCAGATGCTTGTTTCCCAGAACTCTGCACAGAATTATTCTCTGGGCTATACAGATAAAAATTCTAACCAACCTGTAAGACACAATAAACCATGTAAATAGCAGGTGGATCTGTAGCTGTGGAGGGCTAAGGCAGGTCAGGTGAGCCAGTGCTTACCTGCATTGAAGCTCTGGTGACATTGAGGACAGAGAAATAACGCGTTTCTTCACTCTGCTGGTTGAACTTGGCAAGGCTTTGAGCAGCAGCCTCCAAATATTCGGGCTTGGTTGGACAGTCATCAACCGGGCAGTCAGGACATACTCTCCAAATGTATCTGCGTGGAACTTGTTAATCAAACAAAAGATTGTTTCTCTCATTAGAGAAAGCCTAATCCCAAGAGCAGGTTGACAGTGTAGGTCACTGTCAATGTCTCTATGCCCCCAGCCCTGCCCACTTCTCCTCCGGTCCCCTGGAGTAACAATGTGTGGTTTGATTCACTCAATGGGCTTGAATCTTTATGAATTTGCAGACCCACAAAAGGTTGCAGTGGAGGCAGAGACACTGCAGGAGAAAGCTCACCCTGCAGACAGTGGGTTTGCTGGTTTTACTTCCCTCTCACAACCCATAAAAACACTTTTTGGACCAGAGGGTAAAAGCCCACAGAGAGGCTCTGCTGGGCTTCCCAGAGATGAAACCCATTATTGCTGCTGGGCTTGGAGCTGCAGGACCACACTGGCCTTATGATCACTGACTTGAGAGAATTAGGGCAGCTGAAAGCTAATGGGGATGCTGTGGTGCCATAATCACAATTAAAATTTAAAGTAATGCTGTGTGGCAAAGAGTGAATTTCCAGTCCTCTTTTAAAGTGAATGTGTTAAATAAAGACGTACCTTGTTGCAAAGTGCACTCATAAGTATTAAGATGAGAAATATTTCTTGCCTGATTAATGTAGATAATTGCTTTGCATTGACCATAAACCTAAAACAACATAAACATTTAGAAACAATTAATATTGCCTCCTTTGCACTGATCACCCCGTACCTCCACAGCGGGTGGTTCATTTTCTCCTCACAGTCAGGAATTGCTTTTCAAGACAGAAGTTGTTAGTGCTCAAAGGGCAGCAAAGCCCATTTCTCAGTGGCTCCTTTGGACAGAGCAGCCCCTTCCCCTGCCGTAGCCCGAGCTGGGGAGAGCCCCTGCCTGGGTTTGTGGCACAGTCACATCACCCGTGTGCACAAACTCTGACTTCACGGCAGAAAAAACCACTGGCCTGTTAATATCTAGTGTGCCTTTATGGTAAAAAATTGAATGTACAGTCTCCGAGTGCCTCTGAGCTCTTGCCACATACATGACCTCAAGGACAGGCATTTCTGGACCTCACAGAAGCCGTGGTGACCTCACACGCTTTGCTCCCTCTTCCTGCTGGAAGCGCTGGGAGCAGCAGGGAGCAGAATTCTTTCTATTTTTTTTCCAGTTTTTCATTTGAAAATGAAAACTGATTAACCTAATAAGCAGCCCAGGACAATTTAATCATAACTTCTTTTTTTTTTAACATGAATTTTCTTTCTCATCATTCTTCATTTTATAAGGGTTTTTTCCACTTGTTCAGAATACTTTTGGTCACCTGCAGCAGCCTCAGACCACTTGCTGTCTTTGCAGCTTATCTGGCTGAGCTTTCTTTTATCTCTGCTTTCCATACAATTTTTGCAAAGCTGTCAGAATAGAAGTGGAGTTAAGCTAAACCAAAAACCTCATGTTATGTAAAGGGGAGTTTCTTTTATTCCCTTCTTGACATGCTGTCTTTAAACTCTTACATGGTTGTTATAAAAAGTAAACCATTTATTCTAGGGAGTATCCTAGCATGGCTGTTAGTTACCTCTGCTTATTAGCTCCGGTCAAAACCGTTCTTTTCATTTTCACTTTTTAAAATAAATCTTACCAGTCTATAAAAGGACTAGAAAGTACAGAGGAAAGCTGTGGACCTTAAAACATGAGGTTTGATTTCTTCTGAGCTCTGGTACCTCCTACGAATGCATACATAGGGATTCTGCTGTGCTCAGTGGTACCAGAGTAGCTCATCCTCCCTGAGGTTAATAAGCAAATCCCATCCTTACAGTTGCATGAGCTTGTCTGGCCGGACAGTCCTTCCATGACTTTTTGCTGAGTACGTGGCATTCGGTATCTACTACATCCAAGACGAGGTAGAAGACAGAACCAGTGATCTCCTGAAATCAAACAAACAAAAGGTCATAGCCCAGTTTCCTATAGAATAAAGTAGGGACAGATAAAAGGGAGATACAGAGAAACACAAAATACACGGGTAGGACACACAGGTATCCTGAAGACATCAGCTGACTGTCAGGGGGGACTGACTGGAAAGCGTGGGGATCTTGGAAGTCCTAATGCAGCCAGGGTGGACCAAGCTGTGTTTCCTGTTGCCTGTGGCTCTCTTCTATAAAACCAGCTCGAATGTGCAGATGAGGTTATTATAAAATCTTTCTGTCTACCTGCTTCTGTGTGCATCATCCTCCACTGGGGAAAGGATAATTTGTGGCTTATTCAGAGCTCAGCAGATCTCTGAAGGTTTCAACTTCCTTATTTTAATTTTCATTAAAAAACCGTTATGCAAAGGCCTTTTGATATCTGCTTAGTATTGAATAGAAGCTTCTAGCTTTTCTGCCTGGCCAGAAAGAAGCCTTTCCCAGTGCTGCTGAGGCAGGGATGGCCGGGGAGCCAGCAGGACGTGGCAGCAGTGCCTCTGCAGCAGGATACCTGCCACGAGGGAAAGAAATGACATATTTTGGCGTGTTTTGTAAATTTGGTTAAGTGGCTGTCAGTGAAGTTAATCAGGAGTACCTTGTGTGAAAGGAAGGCTCTGTCCTACTTGCATACGAGTTAGCGGCAGATGGCTCATTAGTTTCAATTAGAGCAAAGCTGAACCACGGGTTGCTTAAGGGCAGATTTGAATTTGAAGTAACTTCGAGAATATTTTCATCCTGATAAAACCCTTCTGATTCCCTCCCCATCACAAGGGGGGGAGCGAGCGAGTGGCCGCGTGGTCCTGGCTGGGGTTAAATCACCACAGGGGTCCAGGTGCTCAGTGGGATGTTCTGTCACTGGCACAGGGCACTACAGAGACCGTCGTGCAAACCCATCAGAGCGTGCGTCCTCAGGGCTCAGGGTGCTGGAGGCCACTGGTGTGAGAGCACAGGGAGCAGAGCCGAATCCTTGCCAGGACAGATCTTTCCACCCCTGGCAATGAGCCTGGTTTTCTTTGAGGGCTGAGAGCTCTTCCTTTCAGGTGAGATTAGGGGAAGTGAGGGAGCGTGGCAGGGAATGTTAACAGTGTGCCTGAGGTACTGTGGGCCTTGGGCACTCATTTCAGGTTCTTCCTGGCTCGTGCCAGTAGATTCAGCTATTGTAACGTAAAAAAGTAATAAATTAAGCACACAGAGGGAAATAAGATACTTGAGGATATGAGAGTGATATTCTGTAGGTACTCCCAGTGTAATTTTTGCGCTTGAACTGGTTTCAGATTTCTTCTGGAGAATGAGTCACCGTTTCAGGGGCTGTGCTGGAATTCCCTGGTCCCATGCTGGCCGTGTTCACACACCTGCGAGCGCTCACATCTTTTGTGCAAAAGGCACGATGACTTAATAGCCTTTGCACTCCAACTGCTCGAGGCAGCGGGAGGAAGGTGTAAAATGAAATTAAATCAGAGTAGTGGTGTTTCATACAAAATTTGAACTGATGCCTGGAGCTATTCCAGGGGCAGGCAGCAGAGAATCGTGACTGAGATTTGCTCTCTAATTGCCCACAGTGGTGATGAGACTGTTTCTAGTCATCTGTGCATAAAGTTGACACGGCCTCTGGAGTCCTGCAAACGGAACTTTACATTTGCCTTCTGAAATATTTCTTAGTTCAAACAGGTATTGCTAAGGAATAGCGATAGACACGGGGCTCTTCACGGGAGAAGCAGGTACAGAACAAGGGGGTAACTCACCTGAGGATGCTCTCGCACACTGAAAATCCGGTAGAGCCTGAGGACGTAGCCCTCTCTTCGGTGGGCGTTGATGTGGTGGAGGGCCAGGTCCGCAGCCTCCTCCGCTGCTCTGCCGTCGCAGCTGGGGGACAGCAGCTCTGCTGGCCCCGCACTGGTGGGACGGGAGGCAGCCCAGGGGCACAGCGTCTGCACGCCAAAGAGCACCAAAACCAGGAAAATCATGGTGGTGAGAGAAGCAGGGCAGCAATCGGGGTGGCAGGGCAGAGTGGAGGGGCTGACCGGTGGGAACAGCAGACTCTGGTAATGGACACTCTTTATAAACTCCTGTCCCCTTTTTATTTCACACTGACCATCACCTTTAAACCTGCAACTGTGACAGCAAACACCAAGTCAATGATTACAAGGTTTTATGAAAGTGCTGTCCCTGCCTCTGAGACCAGAGATCACTTTTTCCTTCTGGCTTTACATCTCTAGATCATATAACTTTGACCTCATTGCAATGGACAAGAATATACACACAAAGCTGCTTTCTTAAGAAACCAGAATTGCCTAAATAAACCCATATGCAGGAGAGGCTGGCTCCACCTCTGTTCTGTCAGTGATCTGGGTCTTATCAATGACAAAGGTCTTGTAATTTGAAGGGCTACAAGGATGACTGATTTTACACTTTGTATTTGCTAAATGCTAATTGTAAACAAATTTACCGACTCTGTGTTCTATGTGGTCAGTTTGGTTGGGATAGAAAGCTCAGTTTGGGTTCATTCTTTGAGCATCTCTTCTCAGTTGGGTACCTACAGATGGACCTTAGCCCTTAGCCCAGGCCAGGCCAGCGCAGTGCAGTTGATGTATAAAGCAGCAGCCTATGGACAAATGACCTGCTCAAACCATGAAATACTCTTAGATGACACAATAACAGGGCAATGTAAAGAATTAACGGTTTCATCGGGATGTCTGCTTTTAAGCAGAAATTTCCACTGTGTTTATTTGGGACTTAACATTCACTGTAAATGAACATAGTACCAGATGTGGTAGGTTTTGTTCTGGCCCCAAAGACTTCACTTCTGGTGGTGGGATGGTGCAAAATGAGCTGCTGTAAGAGGTTAGACAGACAATAAGTGACCCAGGGTGGTCCAAACAGTCTCAGGCTATTGAAAGCTCCGTTTCAGGATTTGTTCCCTCTCAATGCCTTGACTCCAGCCCACTTGTCTTTTGTCGCCTAAACCTCTCAATTTATCAACACCTACCAGGTATTGACCCCCCACTCTGATTTCCCTGAGCCCTGAACATTTCCTGTTTCATCCCACCTTTCCCCAGCTTCTTTGTTCTCACTGCCACATTGTGCAGAGCGCTCTGTACCTTGCCAGCATGACGTGTTGCTTCTGACGCCAAAGAACGAGTCTCGTTTCCTTTTATCTCCTCCCATCTGAACATTTTGGCTGCCCCTGGTTTCAGCCCTCGTCCGGCAATGCCTGCCCCTGTGTCCCCGTGGGCTCGGGGGCAGGTACAGCTGCAGAGGAACCCACTGCTCCGTGTAACGTGCTGCTGCGTGGCTAGTGCCTGAGAACCAGACTCAGGGATGAAATAAGAACTGCCTGAAATTAGATGGTGGGAGGGGAGAGGAAGGTGGCCTGTGAGAAAGCTGCAGACCTGGGGCTGACTGTGCTCCTGTCGGTGCCAAAGCTCTGAAAGGAGAATCTGGCAGAAAGAACTTTGTAAAGAAAAGAAAGCGCGTAACATAAACTGCAGGGTGAGATGCCTTCGTTTGACTTCATGTAGCCAGTGCCTCCCTCCTTACATCGCCTCTTGCTCTTTTTTTTTGCCTGTAAATTATTCTTTTTGTCCTTTGAATCAAGGAAAATGTACATCCAGTTGTTTCTTTGCCAGTCCACATCACCTTGTGTAGCTCTCCCAGATTTAGTCCAGACTTCTCTGTGCACTGATCCCATAACTGCCTCTTGGCCGCCTGATTTAGGACCTTACTTTTCTTTCTTGTTCGGTGTTACTGCCTCCTTTATATCGTATGGTCAGGATTGGCTCAAAGAAAAGATTCTCACCTGCTTAATTTCCAGCTCCTTGGCTTCTCTAACCACCGCCACATCCTACCCCGGTTTAAATTGAAGGAGGCCCCATGAGAATCATAAGCTCATGGCTACAGGCCTGAGGAGCAGAGGAACTGGTCCAGCAGTGTCACTAGTTTAATTATTTTAGCACTACACGGTGCTCTGCTTTCATTCCTTTTCCACAGCAATAAATAATACAACCCTGATGTGAGCGGAGATGGCGACTCTGGGGGAAGCCCTTCACTGACCCAGCGCTCCCCCCAGTACCCAGAGCTCCCCCCAGGCTGTGCAGGTCTGTTTTACCTTTGGCTGATCCCTCCCCGCTGAACTGAGCTTGGAGGCTGCTTTGCCAGCACAGAGACTGCACTGTGGTCTCTATTGATTCTCAGGTGATTTGCTGAGCACAGGTGAAAAAGGGTCATGGAAATTTCTGCCTGGAGAGCTTTCAGCTGGAGGTGACGGTGGTGTGCCACCTGGCTGACCCTCAGGAGCTCCGGGCTGCAGACAGGGAACAGCCCTACAAATAGCTCTTGTCCTGGGGATCCGGGGAGGTGACAACCACCACTACTTGGGGAGGATCCTGGTGAAAGTCACTGGTTTTCTGCCAAGGGGTAATTCTGCAGTATGTCACCTTGAAGGATACCAGCAGCCAGGTACCCATTTCCTTGGCCCTCATTTTCTGTCACAGGGGTCTCTGTGGTCACAGCTCTCTGCTGGATGGCACCACACTCTCTGCTGGATGGCACCGAGCACCTTTAGGTTTGAGGGTTGCCCCTGTATTGAGTGAGGAAGGAAAAGTAAAAGTGCAAGTGAAGGACATAATTGTCTCTATTTAATAGTGCTGTAAAGTTTGGAGTGGGTGTTGAAAATTTTCTATCTTGTCACTTTTTTTTCCTGGTGGTATAAAGAATGTCAGCCCTTTAGCCCAGCAGTGCTCAAAGCCTGTGCCTCTGGGGGACAACAGGACACGGCCCAGGGAATGTCCATGGAAAGCTGGGTGGGATCAAAGCCAGGGAGCCCTGCAACAGCACTGGGGCTGGAACCCTTCTAAGGAGACCTGGGTTGGTGGCAGGAGTGGAACCCTCAGGCAGCAGGAGAGAAGGGACACGTGGCTGCTGGACCCAGCCACCTCAGGTGTCCCCAGCTGCTCTGCGCCTCAGGGTGAGGGATGGTGCAGGGGCTGTGTCCTGCAGGGAGGGGATGCAGGGGTGGCTGTGGAGGAACGCTGCTGTAGCCATGGCAGGGGAAGGGCAGGAGCAGCAATGCAGGCTCCCACTGCTCCTCCTGCCTGGGAACGTTCCCCTGCGGCGAGAGGATAATAACTCATTTTCTTCATCCTTACAGTCCATGGCATTTCTATGGAGATGGGTGCCAGTTAGCACTGGCTGTGGTGGTGCCTCTTATAATGGGGAATTGTTATATCCCTGACTGTTCTTTGTGTGCTTCCTCCCACTGGAAAGGAAAAAATGTCTCTGTTGAAGTAGCTGAGCTCAAAACAGAGACACAGCTGGGAAGTCTGAGCGTGTCCAGCCCAAGCAGCACATGAAGTACATACGCTTCAGCAAAACAGGGTATGAAAAAGCTGAAAAACATTATCAGCCAGCAATGCAGACCTGACAACACTCTCCATGCTGCATCTCAGGGATGGAGGCATTTGTATTTTATCTATTGCCATTTCACAGCACTCGCTGCCCAGGGAATCTGTTACTAAACCCTGACTGGTGTAAGGTGCATGTGCATGAATCCAGGGCCGCACTCGGGGGAGACAAAGTGACTGCTTCAAAGCAGGCATGGAAAATGTGTCCTCAAGGGGCAAAATGTGTCCTTAAGAAGGCAGGTGTTAAGGAGAAAGAAGCTGAGGTGCAACCACCAACTGGAATCACAAGAGAGCACAGAGTAATTCTGGGTTTTTCTTATTTTTTTTTTTTCTCCCTGTTTTAGGAAGCAGCGGAGTAGTTGGGCCAGGTGTAGGAGAACATCTGTGGAGTGTGGAGGCTGCAGATATCCTGCTACATGTCCTTGTGTTGTGTGCCTGGAAAAGGCAACAAGGAAATGCAGCATTTCTGGAGCTCAGGGATCCCTTTTGTAAACAGACTTGTGTCTACTGTCAGAGAACTTTCTAAGCCAGGAAAACACTGTCTCCTCTATGACTTAGTGCCCACTTTGTTATATACAAGACAATTTCTACAGTTTGGTTAGGACAATTCCCAGTTTTAAAAGTACAAACCCAGGCAAAACAGATTGCTCCAAGCGAGTTAAAACCTCAGGCTCGTGTGTCTGATGTCTCAGTAATGCAGGTCATAATAGTGGGCATGTCATTAAATCCTGTACCGTCTCTCCTGCAGTGGGGCGGGATGACCACCCACCTTAACCACTTCCAGAAATGTGTCCAGCTTAATGCCAGCACTTTTAAACCAGTGGCTGTGTGTGCAATGTTCTGAGAGCTGGGCTCGTCTCCCTCTCTCTTCCCCCTCCACACACCAGCTGAAGCACTGGTACCAGTGCACAGGGCTGTTCCCTTCCCCACGGACACAGACCCCGTCCTGCACAGCCGCCTGTTGCGCCGTCACCAGAACAAGCCTTGGTTGTGTTGTTTCCTGTGTGCTGGCAGGGGGTAACCAGGAGAACAGGACAGGTTATTGCAGCAGTTCAGAACCGACATGTGTTCTGCAGCTTTTGCTGCCTGCATGATAATTATCTTGTAGCGAGTGCTGTTCCTGGTTAAAGATTCATGATGTCTCTGCGACTGCTCCCCGGGGCCTGCGGAATTCCAGGCTGGCTGGCAGGAGCCATCCTTCCGGCCCCTCTCCCTTATTACTTCTCTACCCAGAGTAGATTTTGCCTCTAACCCGTGTCAGAAACTCAGGGAAGGTTTGAGTGCTGGGACAATGGTAAATTGCCATCACTGTCTGGGTGCTGTTCTGAGGGATACAGGTCTGTAGTATATTTTTATTGCCTTGAGTTGGTGCTCCTGCCCGTGCACACAGAACCCCCTGGTCACCCCACACCGGGGGTCTGCTGGAAGGCAGATATTTTTATTGCCTTGAGTTGGTGCTCCTGCCCGTGCACACAGAACCCCCTGGTCACCCCACACCGGGGGTCTGCTGGAAGGCAGAGAACACCCATGTGTTTGGCTGGAGGGATCGACGCCTTCAGCCTATGCAGCAAGAAACCCATCCCGGTTCCTTGTTCTTTCCATAGACATGGATGCTCTAATGCCATGTCCAGATGCATGGAGGTGCTTCTGGTGGGTATTCAGAGCAGGCCCATGCTCAGAAACACTCCAGCTGGGGAGGGACAAAGACCTTTTTTCCTGCCACTTCTTTAGTGTTATTGGTGTGTGATCAAAAGAAAGGACTGACCTGGTTTTCGGCAGTGCTCAGCACCCACACGTCCCCGTGAAGCTGAGGAGAAGGGCAGGAGCGCACTGTTTTTGAAATGAAGCCCAGAAAATGACTCATAACGCTGTGAAGGAGATACTTGACAACTAAATGAAAATATATACAGACAGAAGGTACCAAAGCATTTCTGTGGAACATTTTATTGTAGTAACCTTTCGGGTGGTGTTTCTATCGCAAAGCTGCAACTGTTGGATAGCTGTTACGACAGCTTTATTGAAACATTATTTTCTGTATTTTAACTAGGGCATCCCTGTCTGTGGAGCAAACAACCACTATATGTTGTGATCACCTAGATTTTGGGGCAGGCCTTTGCAGGATCCTGGCCTCGGCTCTGCTCTCTGGAGGGTAGAACTCGTTTGGGCTCAGAGACGAGTGTTCTCCCCTATTTGGTGCTGTGGTCTGGGTGCTGCTGCTGCTCACTGACCCCTGGGCAGCTGTATCCGTGTCTGTAGCAGCCTAGATACTGAAATGCCGAATCTTCCCTGGGCAGGGAGGAGGAGGAGGCACGAAGCCAACTGGGCGAGGTACCTTGTCGTGCTGAGCAGCCTCTGCCACTGCCCTCTTTGCTACGGGTTTTGCTGAGAGCTTGGAGGTAGGAAATTCTGAGGAGGCAGATTCGGATGCCACAGGGTTGTTGTGGGACAGCCTGAGGTTGTGGTTGGTGAAGCCTTGTGCTACACTGGGCACCAGACCCGCTGATGTATCTTGTCCTGGTTGAGAGTAGGTGACTCCAGGCTGGAAAAGAAAAGCAGTTTGTGTTTGTGTTCAGCGACTTGGGGCTTAGGATGTGCAAGTCATTGAGACCTTATGAGGTACCCTGCTCCCAGCGAGATACAGGCCTCCAACCCGGGCATGAAGTGTTCCTGACCATCACAGAACTTTGGTCTGCATTTGAATACATACACGGGAGCCCAGGAACACATTTTTAATATCCAGTGGATCATTAGCACCAAATTCTGTGCCATGTGAACTTTCAGAGCCACCTGTGCCGCTGGCAAAACATTGAAGACCGACTGTCTTAGGCTTCCTCTCATCTCCCTCCAGACAGCTAATTACTACTGCGTATGGCTCTGCTCTGCAGGAAGTGTTCAACCTCCACCCAGCTCTTCTGAGACCACGTGGAGGCTCAAACACCTGGGGTTCAGTGCACAGACTTTCCCTCCCCCTGCTACAGCAGCGCAGGTCAGGCGCTCCGAATTCACTCAGGTCTAACCACTACCAGCAAAAATCCCCAGCTGGTTTCATCTGCCACCATGGCTGTGTTGGTTTGCACCTCGCTGCCCCTCGCTGAGCAGAGCTTGGCTCCCCGTGCCCTCCCAGAGGTGGGCAGGAGGACAGACTGTACAGAGCCTGGGTGGCAGAGGTGACATAATCCCTGGCACAGAAACCCACGGGATAATCAGGAGCTACCTCACCTTGGTTTTCGGGATACAAAATTAAAACTCAAGATATCAGAGAGAGCTAATTCAGCCTACAGTGAAAGAGGCAAACTGAGGGTGATTGCTTCTAGCTCTACTAGCAGAACACTGGGAAGGGAAGGGAGCGTGTGGTGTGGTACCTGGTGTCCATAGAGCTGGCAGTCCACGCTCAGGTCCTCGGAGAGGCCTATTAACCTTGAGGCTGCGCAGAAACCATAATTCTGGCAAAGCAGAACACAGTCACGAGAAAATAGTTATAAAATAGAGGAGACCAGCATTACAATTTTGAATTTCAGTACATTTAGAAATAGCTACATCTTCTCATGTTTTATCTGAGCAGCAAAGGGCTTGCTTTTCAGTCTGTTGGACTCAAAGCCAAGCTGTTTAAATGCATAACTGGCAAATAAGTGAGGGCCCTGTATTCTTCTCGAGTAAGATCCTTTGTATGTCTGGATATGAGGGAGGGAAAGAATATATAGGAATTGAGTTAAAAGGTTCCCACCCACTAAAACTGCCTGGGACTCAATTTCATCAGAAGCAAAAGAAGAATTTTAGCATGATAAAGTGTACAGTGTAATTCTCAAGAGCCTGCACAAAGCACACTGACAGCATTAAATTGTGGGCGGGTGAAGCAGTCAGCCCTTTCGGTGCCTGTTTGTGTTCTGTCCCGTACAAAGAGCCTGAGTTTCTCAGGTGCTCACGTTAAGAAGAGCACACAATAATACTTATACTCTTGATTAAAAACATCTTGTGTTAAGGACACTTTGCTCCTCACGCCTTTTTGAAATATGTGCAAACACATCAGGATGCAGCCCGGATAGGTCGGAGAGAAGGGAAAGGTGGGGTACAGCCTTAGGAATGACACACTGGAGAGTGTCTCATGATGGCATTCAGCTCTGCCACCTCCCCCAGCTCTGTCCCTCTGCTGGGGAGCGGGGCTGGGCTGTGGGGGTACTCACGGACTGGGGTGTGGGGGTACTCACGGGCTGGGCTGTGGGGTACTCACGGACTGCTCCTGGGGCAGCAGCTGACAGGCCTCTGCGTTACCCTTCGCCTCTCCCGCCGAGCAGTTGGTGGCAGCCACAGCAAACTCCACGAAGACACCGTGCACCGGCTGATACTGGGGAAACGGGAAAAATGTTTAGTGGGCTTTGCACTGAGACACTGCAGAGCTGCTAAGGAAAGATAAAAGGCAAAGGTCGTGGCTTCTGGCTCTGCGTCTCCCACTGAAGTTGAAGGGAATCCTGTGGCTGAAAGGGCACAGAATGCTCGGGAAATCAAGAACAATTGGGTGGCAGAGTTTAGAGCCAGCTAAATCTGTTCACAAACAGAACTAGTTAGCAGTGCACAGACCCCCAGAGGAGACACTCTTTGCAGGGCAGGTTAGACACGTTGTAGCAGTTACCTGTATCCTGGCTCTCCCGATCTCCAGGAGCTGGAGGTAGGGGTCGGCAGTTTTGCTGTTGTGGTGGTTGAGCGCGGCCGTGACGGTGGCCAACACCTCGGTGTCGTTGAGGCTCGCCAGCAGCGGGCAGTCGGGGCACGTCTGGAGGAGGTCTTCGCTGGAGTCTGCGGGAGGAACCAAACCCGTTCGTTTCGGTGAGACCCCAGGTTGTTCTGAAAGCCATGATGGACCCATTCGGTCACACAGAACAGCCACCTCCGGTCCCAAACGGCAGCGGGAGGAGTTTCTGCAGCACAGACTATAGATGGCACCATTCCACACGGCTCTGCCACTCAAGCCTTGCTGCTGGAAAAGTGCTGTGGACCTCAACAGCACATCTTGAATGTTCTTACTCAGGTTTTAATCAATTCTCTTTCTGGCAAACTATCCACGACACCAATGAAAAGATGTCTCTGCTCACCCGAGGAATGCTGGAAAAATGAAGAGTGGACTAGACTGGACTTGATGATCTGAAAGGCCCCTTCCAGCCAAGGCAATGCTATGATTCTACAAAGATATTTTAATTTATTGGAACTGTGTTTGCTTGAGCATGTTGTTTCATTCATTTTCAGTTTTGAAAGTAGCACTGAAAACATCTACAGAGCAAAGAGATCTCGTACAGAGCTAAGAGATCACTTCCAGAGCGTGCAGAACAGACATTCCTCTTCCCCATGGCAATATTGAAAACGCTGGCTTTAGTAAGTAAGCGCCATCTGGCAAAGGGGCTCTGAAGATCGACAAGCTCCAGTAAATTCAGTCCAACGAGAAATCACATTCTTGAGGCTACGCTCCTGAGTGACAAGCCTCAGTCCCAGCAGTCTCCAGATCGGAACTGGGAATTGCTCCCCAGGTAGTCTCAGAGTATCTTAATTGTCACAGTCAAGAGGAGCAAAGAGGGAGGGCTGGGTTTGTGGGGGAATTAAATCAGAAAAGGGAAAAAATTCCTTTCAGAACAGCTGGGTTTATAAAACCTATTACTGGCCCTCCTTTGTGTCATGTTTATACACAGCACTTGCTGCTTCCCGAGGCAGAGAGGCTGGTGAGCGGTAAGCGCTGCTGTGCTAATCCTCCAGCCTGGGTTAAACCCAAAGAGCAAAGTCTTTACCTGCGTGTGAGTGGCATTTACTCGCGAGTACAGATAACTTTCCATTCAGCTTCTGCAGTTTGACATCACAGTCACCCTCAACTGCCTGGAGAGAGACAAAAATCAAAGGGTTACATCGTTTGGATAAAGAGGAATTTCTGAAAAGGGCAGCTATTACTAAATTCAGAAGAAGGGATCCTGGCTGAGCGTTCCTGGCAAAATCAGGCGATTGCAAAGGCACTGCTGGGCGGGTGCTGAGATTTTGTGAAAGGCAGAGCAGAGCTGCAGCGTTTGGATCCAAATCTGGGTCTCAACAGCATCAGAGGTGCCTGCGTAGCCAGATTATGGACATTTGCTTCAGGCTGCTCTCTCATAAAGAGCATAAAATATGAACACTGATGAATGAAGGCTTTTGCGGAGCTGTTTGATGACGTTCTCACTGGTCCCAGCTGGTCAGTGGCCATGGGAAGTGCTGCCTGGGCCAGCTGGCCCACAGCAACCCCATCCAGCTGCAGGGGAGACAGCAAAGGCAGAGCTGGAGCCCCCGGGAAGAGGGAACGGTTAGAGTTACCTCCCCCAGGACAGAAATTGGGATCTGAGCCCCAGTGACTTCAGGGCTGGATGACAATTCCAGTTTAGTCATGAGCTCTGTGAGCTGGGCCCATGCTAGAAACAGAGGCTGAGCCTGGCAGTGGCTGACCCTGCTTTCTGCCCAGAACCTGGAGCTGCCCCTGCTCGGGCACCACTTCCACTGCTCTGCCTGGGGACAGCTTTTCACAGCTGGGTCACTCTGGTGTGAGAACTAAATATCTGAGGCTGGTAAATTCCAGCCGAGCATTACTTGGAAGGCAGAGCCCTGTCTGAAGGGGACAGCTCTTCTGCAGTCGTGGCCAGACTGGGTGGAATTTCACCAGGTAACAGCCTGCGTGTAGCCAAGGGAGGGCTGTGTTTGGGGGATGTTGTGCTGAGAGTGACCTGTCCTCCTCACATAATGGGGCATGGAAGAAGCCCAGGAGTGAAATCCTTCATCCCACGAAGGCAACTAAATCAACAAGGAGGTTGCAAGCAGTTGGTGGTACAAGCAATGGGCAAACTGACCACGCACCCTCGGGCCGAGGTACAGCGTGAGACACTCACGTGTTCTGTGAAGCTCCGCACTGTGCAGTTTGCAAGAGGCGTGGGGCTGAGGATGTGGCACGTGGTCTCTAATAAGTCCAGTTCGAGGAACATTATGTCATTATTCAGCCCCTGGAAGAAAAAAAAAAATCACCAGGAATTGTAGTAATTACTTCACAAAACATGACCAGGTGTCTCCTGCGGGTCTGTGGGCTGCGGTCTCTGTCTCTGTGAGTGGGCAGCTCCAGGTACATGCTGGTATAACAGAGTGTGTCCTTACTGGTAACGTCACAGCAAACAGGGCCCAGGGTTTTGCCTGGAGTAAGTCAGGATGGTCACACTGATTTTTTCCAGCTAAGAAACTGGCCTATGAATTTCGGAAAGCCCAGCCTGTCCGTAGTGGGTCAGTTCTCTTACGTTAACTTGGTTTTACTTTGTTGGGTGTTCTTAAAAGACCAAATGCTGGCTTTGTTGATGAAAAACCTTTGCATTTCCCTAACCAGATACCAAATAAACACTGGTGCACCTTGGCCTGTCCCACTTAGACCCTTGGAATGACTCTACGTTGCACCAGCTGAGTTCCAGTCGTGGTGATTGTTGGCTGCAGGGTCTTCTGGGGTTGTTCCTGAGCCTTTGCAACTATAGCATAAGACACGTGGGTGGAAGGGCAGAAGTGAGGTTCCCTGGCTCCTAGGCTGACTCTCAGTCATGAGTGATTCCATTGAAACCACTGAAGTTATTTTCGTGTAAAATATGAGCAAGGCAGTGTCAGCAGTGTCTCTGTGTGGGTATCTGGGGGCACACTTCTTCTCATTAATGTCTGGTTTAGTCTCCTGTAGATGACTTCAGTATCCTGTCTCATAACGAGTAGAAAACAGCCATGGAGTTTCATTCATGTTAATATTTGGGACTGTTTTCGATGTTTTGAGAGAACTGAAGGGTTGGACTGGGCGCATACATCGTATTCACAACCATTCCTACAGCCTTTCTAGGTGACTACAACCGTGTCAGTGGGTCTCAGTGAGAATGAGACCACAACCCACAGTTACTTCCATTCAGCTTCCTTGTCAGCTCACTGGGATATTGGGTAAAATGAATGCCTACCACAGAGTCACGGAACTTGTCAGCTCACTGGGATATTGGGTAAAATAAATGCCTACCACAGAGTCACTCATAGCACAGAGTTCTGATAGGTATGCATTTAGCCAATAAATAATTAGCTGCATCGCGACGATTATCCTGACAGTTTCTCTCCAGACGAGCTGCTGGGCTGCTGAACCAGCCCTTGGGCAGACCTGCCCTAGCAAGCAGGCTGCGATTGCAAACGGAGCCCTTTTTAACACTGTCCCAAAGTACCTGAACATTTCCCTCTCCCCCTCTGTTCTGCTCTTTGAGATCCATCCCAGTGACCTGGCTTCCCCAGTGCTCCCCGGTGGCGTGGCCCCGCTAGAATCAACAGAGGGGGGGGATTTACCCCTCTGGGAAGGGCCCTTGGCAGGGCTGGCTGCTCCCTCCCGAGCAGCTCCGGGCTGACGCCGCAGGCCCCTCACTTACCTGGGACACCACGCGGATATTGTCGATTCTGTTTAAGGCAAACTTGTATCCGTGGTGACTGTGGCCATTAATATAATTCACAGCAAATTCGGCTGCTGCCTCCGATTCTGGGTCATCGCAGCCCAGGGGAGCTGGGGGGGGAGCTGCGGGAGCAGCTCTGTGAGCTGGAAGCTGAACGAGCAATATTAAAGCTAGTAGTGCCTTCATGGCAGCCGAGGAAAGGCCACCCCCTTCAGAAATACAGCCCTGGGACCACTGCTGAGGTGGCGGGTATGGAGCTAGAGCTGGGGTCTCATTTATATAGTACATAGCATACTTCGCCCGAGCGCATGTCTGAGATTTGTCCCAGTTCCAAGCGGCATTGCAAACAACAAAAGAGCAAAGTAAATGTTAGGACATCAAGTGAGCTGATTAATATTGGCCAAAGTAAATTTTATCAGGTAGGATATTGCGAAGTCTGCTAAAGCAGCTAAAGAAGAAAGTGTCAGCAAAAATGTAACATAATTTTCAGACCCTCTTCTGCCAGCCGAAGGCAGTGGGTGCCAGAGGAATATGAGCCTCCTGTTCAGCGTGGCGAGATGCTAGTGCTAATTGCTGTTCCTTCTAAACAGGACACATTCTGTTACGGCCCAAATCTCACCAGACACCAGTCTGAACTCTGAGATCAGTAACGTGGTAAAGGAGAAAATGGAATTTGAATCAGTTCTGAGGATCACATTCAACAGTAAATGTAATTATACAGCAACTTTTGCTACGGAATTCATGTGGAATAGGAAATGAGACACAATTTCTAAATCTTTTGCATCAGCTCTTTCTTTCTGTGGATGCTCTGAATACCTCCAGTCGTTCCTGGAATTTCATTTTGCAAAGCAGGCATCATGTAGAAATTTTTCTGGAATCTGTTGCTCAGATTTGAGGATTTGGCAGAAGAGCCAAAAGAGAAGGGCACAAAAGTGTTCTAAGGTGAATGGAGCTGAAAATGAGCTGCTGAAAGGCTGGGGAGCAGGACTCCAGCTGATGTTTGCACTGATGGTGTTTGTGTTTACAAAACAGTCACTGGGTAACAAAAACATTCTCTGGAGCAGAATATATGTCTTCTATGTGGCCAGCTTTTGAGGTCTTTAATTTAAGGTGAGATGACTTTACCAAAGGTGGACTCAAGCTCAAGCAGTAGAAGCTTTTCCTGTGGGGATTTCGGATTGGGTTTCTATGACCCGTTGGATGGTGAGGATCAGGCTGCAGAATAGTAACGGTCCCTTTGGGCTTTAAAATGTCTGAATCTCTGTCGTCATTTGCAAGGAGCTCAGGAATTAGCTGCAGATTGGAGACAAATAGGAGGATTTCAGCATATTTAGAAGTTTTCACTTTAAATAAGTATTTCTCAGTTTGCATGACAGTGTTGGTGGGGCTAAAGGATTTGTGGGAAAGCAGTCTGGAGTCATGGCTCTCTTCTAGAGTCTGGAAATCTGGAAACCAGCATGAATAGAAATGGTTTGGTCGGACAGATTAAGTGATGAAGAAGGAAAATGGGAAGAGACTAAAAAGATGGAATGTTTTCCTTCAGCTGGGTGGGAGGGGGTGAGCTTTGGATACTGGGATTTACACATTGAGAGATTCCTGGGGAAAAGAAAGGCTCTTCCTCTCTCTCGCAGGAAGGGTGATTTGAGGGTGATTTGTTTCTTCCCCCCATTTGCAGCAGGTGGTGTTTGGCTTTTGTTCTGTTGTGTGAGTGATCATTTGTCTTCTTGACTTTGGCCTGGAACACTTAAAGAATGAAGGTTTGGTGTCCCAAAACCACGCTCTGAGTGTTCCTTGTGGGTATCTTTTGAATTATGGCAAATTGATTTAGAAAGACAGGATTTTACGCTTTACTTTTAACCCACAGCTCAGTTTCTAACCTGTGAATCTTTTAATTGCCTTTTCCCTTTCCTAGATTGAGGCACTGGGTTAAACTTCCAGCAGGTGCTGAATGAAATTGCTTTTCACCTAAATGACATGTATTTACCCCACCCTTTGGCTACAGAGGGACACAGACCTGCCTAATTATTCCCTTCTGGGAGTGGGATTGCTGGTGTCAGGTCCCTGCAGGCCTGGGTCCCATCACGACTGGCCCTTTTTTGGCATCCTCGCTCCAGAGGCAATAACTGCAGAAATAACTCCTCACTGAGCTCTGTGCAGATCTGTTCTCTCACTTTCAAGTCCAAGACATAGTAAAATGTTGTCCTTTAGTCGTGGCTGCAAATAGTTCTTACAGCACAAGAAAGTGAGTTGAATTCCATGGGCTCCTGGGCAGAAGGTCACATCTCGACCCCGCTGCAGTGAACGCATCTTTCACAGGATCGCAGTATCCCGGGATGGTTGACTTTGGAAGGGACATCTGGAGGTCATCTTGTCCAACCCCACTGCTCAAGCAGGGCCACCCAGAGACAGCTGCCCAGAGCCACATCCAGATGGCTTTTGAATATCTCCAAGGAGGGAGCTCCACAACCTCTCTGGGCAACCTGCACCTTGCTCACCCTCACAGTAAAACAGCGTTTCCTGATGTTCAACCGGAACCTCCTATTTCAGTTTGTCCCCATTTCCTCTGCTCCTGTCACTGGGTGCCACTGGAAAGAGCCTTCCTCCATCCTCTTTTCACCCTCCCTTCAGGTGTTTATGTACACTAAGATCCCCCCAGGCTTTCTCTTCTCTGTACCAGTTAGTCCCAGCTCTTGCAGCCTTTCCTCATGGGAGAGCTGCTCCAGTACCATAGTCATCTTCATGGCCTTTGCCATGCTGTCCCCAGCGTGTCCTTGTCTCCTGTGCTAAGAAGCCCAGAACTGGGCACAACACCCACCAGTGCTGAGGAAAGGGGAGGGTCACCTCCCCAGAGCTGCTGGCCATGCTTTGCCTGGTGTGGCCCAGGATGCCATTAGCCCTCTGTGCAGCAAGGGACACTGTTGTCTCCCGCCCAGCTTGGTCCCCACCAGGACCCTCGGGTACTTTTCTGCCCAGCTGCTTTCCAGCTGAGTGAGCCCCAGAATGTGTTCACACACGAGGTTGTTTCAGGCTTCTGCTGGAACTCCAGGAGGTTCCTGCCAGCACGTTGCTCCACCCTGTCCTCATCCCTCTGGATGGCAGCATGACCCTCTGGCATATCAGCCACTCCTCCCTCTTCTGTGTCACCTACAGGCTCACTGAGGGGACACTCTGCCTCGTCTTCCAGGTTACTAATGAAGATGTTAAACAGGACTGGACCCCAGTGCTGACCCCTGGGTGTACCACCAGCTGCTGGCCTCCAGCCAGGCTTTGTGCCACTGATCCCCACCCTTGGGCCCAGCCAGTGTTCAATGTTCCCCAGTCCACCCCAACCCACCTCAGTCCACCTCAATCCATGCTAATCCTCCTCGATCCACCTCAATCCACCCCAATCAACGGTGTTGGATTTGGCCCTGGGGAACTGGGCTGTCTGAGGGACCTGAGAGGGCTTCACTGGGATGGAAGCAGAATGCGCTGGGTTTGCTGCCCTTGTTATATAAAATACAGTATTGATTCTGTGCTCAGGAGCTGAGGCTCCAGTGAATCTCAGTTCTTAATAATTCATATAAACCACAATGGAAAGGTGAGTTGATGGTTTTCTTTTTTTGCTTTTTCTCTTTTTTTTTTTTTTTGGTTGGATGCTTGGAACAAGCAGTGATTGGAAACTCACTGCCCGTGAGTTGATTGTTTTTTTTTTTTGCTTTTTCTCTTTTTTTTTTTTTTTGGTTGGATGCTTGGAACAAGCAGTGATTGGAAACTCACTGCCCCTGCTCAACCTCCCCCAGAAAAAAGCAAAGGATTGCTTCCGCAAGATGTCGAGTTGACACCTTCCTAAGCTTAAAATTCAAACAAATTAAACAAGCAAACAGATAAATATCATCTTTTTAAAGCTTCAGATCAAAGTTAAACACTTGTGGGGATTTCTGAGGCTCTCTTTTCAGATTACTAAAACATCATTTTTTGGTAAAGCAGACAGAACTGGTCCAGTTCTCTGCACCACATCAAAAGATGCATTTCTGAGCAGTCAGGCATTGTACAGTACTGCAAAACTTAATCACCTCTTGCTTTACACTTGATTGAGCACATTACTTTTGGATCACAGAGTTCACAACATATTGGAACATCAGGGCTGTCTCCGTATAGCCATCACCCACCCGAAACCTGCACACAGGGCAGCGCAACGCGGGGAAAACGTCAGGTGGTTGAAGTGACCAGTCCTGTCAAGGCAGCACATCGCGTCCTTAAGTGACAGAGTAATCAGCATTTAAAAATACAGTGTGTGAGAACACATGGAGCTCTGAGAAAAACCTCAAGACAAATTAGACCAATGGATTTGCATAATCCTATTGGCCCCTTTCCACCGCACGGGCAAGTCTTCAGCAGGTAGAAGTTGACTGAGATTCCCTGCAGTCCCAGTCCCCCAGTCTCCCTGTGCCAGCAGCTCCAGGCTAAAGAAAAACCTGTGAAATCTGAACAGTTTTACCAGACTGTAACACTAGAACATTATATGTTAATTCTTTTTTTTTTTTTTTTAATATGAGAGTTTTTAAGGGAAGGAAGGCTGATCATGTGCCATAGTTTGCTGTAGTATTTGCAGCTGAGAAATAAAATTGCAGACACAGCATCTCATTTGGAGGCTCTAGTTTTGGGTGCCCAGCTAGAGATTCCTTTTCACTCCCCTTGGCTGATCTCAATCTGTTAATCTCTATTTTCTTTTAGCTGTAAAATGGAAACAACTATTTTTCGTTTTACTTCTGTGATCTGAAATAATGCAATGAGTTTTGTAAAAAGTTTCGATATCACTGGGTAGAAGGATCTTTTCAAAACATAGAGGAATCTAAGTGTCAGGCAAACCAGATGTCGGTCAGTCAAAATTTAGGGATTCCTGGATTTACTGGGGATGTAGCAGGATTGAACGGGCTGAAATTTGGGCTCCTAGATTTAGTATTGATTATTTCAGTGGAATTTTGTTTGCTGGAGTTTCTTTTAAAAAAAACATACTGGTTTTTTTTTTGGTTTTTTTCTTTTGAAAGAGCATGAAAAGTTGTCAAGAATTCTGAAATTGTTACTGCAATGGAAATTTTGATTTTTGACCAGCTCTCCCAGACAAAGCCAAGCAAGTCTATTTCTGCTCTCTCCTCTCTTGTTCTATTTCGCTGCTCTATTGTCTCTGCCACTGAAACTCTTCCAGAAGCACATCCAGTGACACATCCAGCATTTGTTACATGAAAGTCTATTCTCCTTC